GTTCAAGCAATTCTCCTGCCTCAGCCTCCTGAGTAGCTGGGACCACAGGTGCGCGCCATCACACCCAGCTAATTTTTTTGTATTTTTAGTAGAGATGGAGTTTCACCATGTCAGCCAGGATGGTTTCAATCTCTTGACCTTGTGATCCACCTGCCTCGGCCTCCCAAAGTGCTGGGATTACAGGCATGAGCCACCGCACCCGGCCCAGAATGATACCATTTCTAGACACCTCAAAAACAAGCAAAACGAAACAATACAGATGATATTACATATGCATTATATAGATATTATGCATCTAGGGATACATAATATGTACCAAACTAGAAAGAAATGTAAGGCTAGAGGTCATCTCTGGGAAGATACAGGGATGGCAGTGGGAAGGAGAGCATGGGCTTCCAAGGTACAAGTTCTGTTCTCCCCAACCATGCTCCAGATGCTCAAAAGCATATAGAGGGAAACAGTAAAGTTTTAGATTGAGGTGGAGTACTGAGTACTGAATTCTTGCAAGCTAGGTGCCTTTCCCAACACTCCTTCCAAAGAAGGAAACGTAGCCAGGAGTTGAGGATAACAGCAGAGTTGTGCCTTGGCTCTGGGAACTCAAGTAGCTGCCCTGGATGGGGTGTTCATGGCACACCTGCTGTGTCTATGTCCCTCCTCCATCCTTCCCTTCCCCTCTTTCTCTCTCGGGCTGATTCACTACACAGCATTAGACAGCCAGAACACCAAGGTCCTAGCCTAAGCCCCACCTCCTCCAGAAGGCCACCTGACTCCCTCCAGCAAAAGCTCTGCACTTTACCTTTGTATTCTCTCCTTACTGTCTATGGTCAGCAGACTTCTAAGATGGCCCCTGAAGATCGCCATCTGGTATTCCCGTGCTCGCGTAATCTTCTCCTCTTGAATGAGCTGTACCTACTGACCTCTAGTGCATAGAATACTGTCAAAGTGATGGGATAACAATTACCAGATTAAGTTACAAAAGACACTGTGGGCCGGGTGTGGTGGCTCATGCCTGTAATTCCAGCACTTTGGTAGGCTGAGGCAGGTGGATCGCGAGGTCAGGAGAGACCAGCTTAGCCAGCATGGTGAAACCCCATCTCTACTAAAAATGCAAAAAATTAGCTGGGCATGGTGGTGCACGCCTGTAATCCCAGCTACTTTACTCCAGAGGCTGGGGCAGGAGAACTGCTTGAACCCCAGAGGCGGACGTTGCAGTGAGCCAAGATAGCACCACTGCATTCCAGCCTGGGCAACAGAGCAAGACTTCGTCTCAAAAAAAAAAAGACACTGTGACTTCCTCCTTGCTAGCAGACTCTCTCTTGCTGACTTGATGAACCAAGGTGTTATGTTGAACAGGACTATGTGGCAAGGAATTGAGGGAGGCTCAATTCCAGTCCAACAGCCGATGTGTTTGGCTGTGTCACCACGCAAATCTCATCTTGAATTCCCCTGTGTTGTGGGAGGGGCCCGGTGGGAGCTAACTGAATCATGGGGGTGGTTTCCCCCCTATTGTTCTAGTGGTAGTGAATAAGTCTCATGAGATTTGGTTTATCAGAGGTTTCCACTTTTGAATCTTCCTCATTCTCTCATTTTTTGCCTGCCATCATCCACATAAGATGTAACTTGCTCTTTCTTGCCTTCCACCATAATTGTGAGGCTTCCCCAGTCACTTGTAACTGGAAGTCTAGTTAAACCTTTTTTCTCTTCTTTTCTTTTTTTTTAGACACTCTTACTCTATTGCCAGGCTGGAGTACAGTGGTACAATCTTGGCTTACTGCAACCTCCACTTCCCAGGTTCAAGCAATTCTCCTGCCCCAGCCTCAGTCCCAAGAAGCTGGGACTACAGGTGTGTGTGACCACACCCAGAACATTTTTGTATTTTTAGTAGAGACGGGGCTTCCCAATATTGTCCAGGATGGTCTCGATCTCTTGACCTTGAGATCTGCCCACCTTGGCCATCCAAAGTGCTGGGGTTACAGGCTTAAGCCACTGTGCCCAGCCAAACCTCTTTCTTTTGCAAATTGCTTAGTCTCGGGTATGTGTCTTGATGAACTAATACACCTGCCAACAACCAGAGTAATCTTTAAAGTGGATCCTGCTCCAGCTTAACCTTGAGCGGGCTGAGCTCAGCCCACACTACCGGCCTGGATCCCAGGCCTGCCAAAGGTGTGGAGTGACAAGGGGTGTGTAAGTGTGGGGTCGAGCCACTGCACAGTCAGACACACCGGCTGCAGTGGAGCAGGCAGCTCCAAGTGCCAGCATGGGTGCAGGCTCTCTGCAAGGCTTGCGGCTGGACCAGGCACACACTGCAAGCAGCTTCCATGGCTGCCAATGGGGAACATGATGGTGCCCAGAAGCTTGGAGATGTTAGGAACTGCAGGGCCCCAAAGAGGGAGCCACAGCCCTGACTCAGGGAACTCCCAGGTCTGGGTTCCCCAAAGGGCTGCAAGTCTTCTCTCCTTCTCTTCTTCCACAATGTGGTGAGCAAGGAGCATGTCTGAGCCCTGTCTGTGTTACAGTTCTTTTAGCCTCACCATTTGTCAGATCCCGAGTTCTTGTCTTGTTGCCAGGAAGAATGAAGTACGTGGACAAGTGGAGGGTGAGCAAGATGAGGAGGAGCTCTATTGAGTGACAGAACAGCTCAAGAGACCCACAGGGAGTAGCTCCTTTCTGCAGCCAGGGTGTTCTGATGAGTGTTCAGCTCCTAGCAGAGAGGGTAGCTCCTCTCTCCAGGTGGGTCACCCCAACAAGTGTTCAGCTATCAGCAGAGAGTAGGTCTCTCAGCTGGTTGTCCTGTTGTCTCTGCTCTGCTTTGGCTGGGCCCAGGGCCTTTATAGGCCTCAGAAGGGAGAAAGTGCATGCCAATTGGCCCATGGGCAGCCATGGGCAGGACCAGAAAAGGCACCCGAAGTTCCCACTCCAGTCAGGTCCATGGGACTGGCAGCCTAGCCCCCAGCCTCCAGGCCCTCCCTGTCCTGAAGGTGGGGCCTCACCAGGGACCCATCCCCTTCTTCCCAGAAGCCTGTCTGCCTCCTGCAGCCATCCATGGGGCCCAGACTGCTTGAGCCAAGGGGCACCTGCAGGCCAGTGCCAAGACACCCTTAGCCTCCCCCTAAGCTGCCCCTCCCCTCCACCAGCAACTGTTGGTGCTCAAAGTCCAGAGCGGGCCAAGGTGGCAGGGGCTGGCGTTTCAGTGCTGTCCCAAGTGTGCACATACCCTGCCAAGCTGTGATAATGCCTGGCTTCGGCCCCAACCCCACTCTGAGATTGGGGGCTCCTGAGGGTGCAGGGTGCAGAGATGCCCAGGTCTTGCACCTGGGAGGGTGAGGCTCGTACCTGCTCCACGGAACTTGCAGGCAGCCCTGGCCATGCCTCCTCCCAGTCTGGGGTGTGGTTCTAGGTCCTCGCTGGTCCCATGCCAGCATCTGGGGCAGGGGTGACATCACCATAAGTTCTTCCTGTGACCCCAGTGCTCAGGGGTGGCCTGAGGCTCCCCCTCGCCTGGCTCATAGTCAGCAGGGGTGCCTCCAGGAGCGAATTACAAGCCCTGGGCCTGGTGGTAAGGAGCATCAGGCTCCATGGTCACCCTACTGTGGGGCAGCACCAGGCAGCCCTGTGCAGAGCCTCCTCCCAAGGGACATATACGGCACCAGTCAGCAGGGAGGGCGAGGTGGCCATGCTATTGGCTGGGTCCCTGAAGTGGGCACCACTCCCATTTCCCACCCCAGGTCCCCAAGGACAGCCCTAGCTCTGAGCCCCAGGCCCAGCCCCTGTGCTCCATGTGCAAACATGGCACCACCCTAGGCTCAGCTCTGCCTCAGGCCCCTCTCTGCCTGCTCCTCCATACACAACCACGCTGCTCCCCAAGCCAGCAAGTAACTCAACCTGGCCGCACTATGGCAGCCCCCATGGTGGCAGGCTCAGGGGGGGATCCCTGCAGTGGGCTCCAGGGACTGTTCCACCTCCTCCCCACACCCTCCCGCAGCAGCGGTCGACAGTGGTGGTGACAGGGACCAGGATCCAGAGCAGTGGAGGCTCTGGGCCTGGAGGCAGGCCCCACCCAGCCACATGTGGGTGAGGGCGGCACAGTTGGCTGCCTCAGGGACATAGGACACAGGGAACGTGGGGAACACAGGTCTCACCACTGCCACTGCTGCTCCCACAGCCGCTCATGCCGCCACCACTCACACCTCCCCACTGTGGCCAGCACAATGACAGCGGCCACTCCAGACGGCCCGCTGCTGCCATCACTAGCTACCAATGTGTTTATGTCACTATTTCCCTCATGCTCACTGACATCTTCCTGTAAAGGTGTCATTTTCTAATAAGCAATATTTTCCCACTTATCAGCTGGGATTCATACCATTTTGAAAGACAAATTACAATTTGAAGGTGGGGGACACATTTTTATGAACATTACACTTTACTATTTCCCTGGGTTTCCCTATAACTAAAAAAAATAATGATAAAGAGACACAAAATGTCTTAAGTGATCATAACTGGAAAGCAAACTTGCAGAAGCTACTCGTTTTCTTGCTTACTCTATTTTTTGTATGATGATCATGCATTGCTTTGTGTATTAGTTTTCACACTGCTATGAAGAACTACCCGAGTCTGGGTAACATATAAAGCAAAGAGGTTTGACTCACAGTTCCGCATTGCTGGAGAGGCCTCACCAAATGTATAATCACAACAGAAGGTGAAGGGGAAGCAAAGCACAGCTTACATGGTGGCAGGAGAGAGAGTGAGTGAGGGGGTAAATGCCAAACACTTCTAAAACATCAGATCTCATGAGAACTCACAAAAACCACATGGGGGAACCCCCCCGCCGGCCATGATCCAATCACTTCCGACCAGGTACCTCCCTCAACACTTACAATTTGAGATGAGATTTGGGTGGGGACACACAGAGCCAAACCGTATCACTTTGCATGATTTCTAATATTCTAAGATCAAAAAGAAAAGCATCACCTTTTAACATACATGAATGATACCAACAGTAGTTAGAAAAGAATATGACATTTTATTTTCACTTAGGACATACAGTACATGAATTTAGAAATGAAATCATTGCAGGATTCTGAAATACTGATACCTTAAGATCTAACACACTGATATTCCATTCCCTACAAAGCAGCCACATTAGCAGTTCGGATTTGGTCTTTGTTGTCATTGCTGACATTAAGTTATTTAAGTGAAATGCCCAGTAGCATTTAAATAATATATTACAGCAGACACGAACTAAGTTTCAATATTCCATCTTTGGAACAAATTATGCTTATTTACATGTTAACAGGGGGCTATATTGACATACCCTATTGTAAGTTTTAATGACTGATTTTAAACTACAGAGGGTTTTCCAGCTATTATTTCCTTTAGAGTTTCTAAAAGTAACAACTTGTGTTAATGTTTTATAAAAGATAATGTTGGAAAAAAAGATAATGCTGAAATAAAGGCGCTTTTAGAAATATTTAAGGACAACATAAGGTATTAATATTGAAAAAAACTGTACATATTTTCAAGCACAACACTGAAATATTATAGCAGTGTTTAACTGAACTGTTTTAAAATAGTGGTAATTATACTACCTTACATACGGTTCTAATATTTAAATCTCGTAATTACAATTTGAATATACAGCCTGACTTACAATTAGAACTATACACAGTTTCTAAAGCATATTTTTCAGGTTTGTTTTTGCACATAAATTAATGTTTAAGCTGGTCCTTGATTTGGAGAACTGTAACTACCTGGAAGCACTAAGTTTTAGACACATTGATAGCCAACAAAATCCTTGACAGAGTGAAAGCATCAAGAGTACCATGCGTGGAAAAGCAGCTGTTGCCCCCCAAGTGCAATATGAAATCTAGAACAAGACCCTCTCAGAGGCCCGCATGTCTCAATGAGTGACCCTCAAAGAAACCCAAATGTATAGGAGGAAGTAGCTGACCATCCATGGGCATCTTCCACACTGGGACAATCTTTAAAACGGAGGCGGCTTTGGACCTCTAGCACAGAGACAGACTTTACAGTCTTTGATTTTATTTACACTTTTAAAAAAAGATAAAGTATATCTGAATTCTCTCATCATACTTAAACTGCTGGTGCACTGGCAGTTCAAGCTGATTCAAGTCATGAGGCAGCCCACCAGATACTTTAAAGAACCCCAGACCTCATTCTCCTCTTTCCTATGATGAAGTCCAGACTGTCCCATCAAACTACTTGATGTCCGTAAGAGACTTACATTTTATAAGCACAGTTAGCTTATTATTGAACCTTTAAGAAAAGTCCAAAGATGTGTGGAAAAGTATGCCTGCTGACAGTGACTGCTTCTACCATGACAATGAAACTGAGCTACAAAAATAATTTTACTGTTTTAAATAATGAAAGAAGCTAGCTTTTTAAAATATATTACTTATTCTGTAACAGCTGATTAAATTGATAATCAACAGAATCCAATGAACAGGTTCAGCTTCCATTCTGCAAGCTGAATTCAGGTTATGATATTAATTACAGAATAGCTTCAAATCAATAACAGTTCCAAGAGTAAAGAGACCATCAAGGCAGTAACATTGATCAATTCTGTCATCATCCTGCACAGAGCACAAGATGTGCTTTTGGATAAAGGCATTAAAAAGACCTTAGGCTGATGTGGAAAGCGGGTCAGTAAAGACTCCAATTCTGCACAATGGAATCTTCCAAGCCAAGCCGCTTTCCACAAACACAAATTCAGTCTATCTTTTCTTTCTGGACCAGTCTGGGAGCATCAACAAAATCTTTGCCATTGTAAAGAATGATAAAAAATGTTCCAATGCTTGCAACTCCCCAGAAGAGCACATAGGCCAGTGTTTCTGTCCAAGTGTCACCTGTTGATATTAAGAAACAAAGAGCTAAATGAGTTGTTTGTTGATATCAGACCTGGTTTTCAGCTGTTTAGCACATTTTGACAACATTAAAGTTTACTAGCACATTCACAGGGAAAATATAAAAACCTCTTTAATTAAGGTTTTTCGTTTTGTTTTGTTTTTTTTTTTTGAGACAAAAGTCTCGCTCTTTCGCCAGGCTGGAGTGCAGTGGCGCGATCTCGACTCACTGCAATCTCTGCCACTCCACCCGACTTCAAGCAATTCTCCGCCCTCAGCCTCCTGAGTAGCTGGGATTACAGGCGCCTGGCACCACACCCAGCTACTTTTTGTATTTTAGTAGAGAAGAAGTTTCACTATTTTGGCCAGGATGGTCTCGACCTCTTCACCTCATGATCCGCCCACCTCGGGCCTCCCAAAGTGCTGGGATTACAGATGTGAGCCACCGCACCCGGCTTAATTAAGGTTTAAACCAGTGGTTCTCAAACTCTGGCTAGCACTAGAATCTTCTACAGGGCTTGATAAAGCATCAACTGTTAGGCCCCAAGAATCTGCATTCTAGCAACCTCCTAGTTCCAAGGTGATGCTGATGCTACTGATTAAGAAGGTGCACTTTAAGAACCATTGGACTAAACAATTTCTTATTATATTATACAAATAATAATGATCACTTTTAGTATATTTTAATAATACAAAAAACTATTAATTGTTCATAGTTCTATAACAGATACAAGCTATTATCAAAATATCTGCACACAAAAAAACAGTATTCATAAGTTATGAAGACAAAACATAAGTTATACATAACTTTTGTGAAGTTATGTATATTTTGTAGGGTATTTTTTGTATACATACAAATATATAAAACAAAAGTCAGTAACATTTTCTTTAGAGACAAGGTCTTGCTATGTTGCCCAGCTTAAAGTGCAGTGGCTATTCACAAGCATGATTCCACTACTGATCAGCATGAAAGTTCTGTCCTGCTGTTTCCAGCCTATACTGGTTCACTATCCTTAGGCAACCTGGTGATCTCTTGCTCAAAGAGGACACCATATTGATGCTGAACTTAGTGCAGACATCGATCAGCATGGCACACTACAGTCCGGAACTCCTGGACTCAAGTGATTCTCCCGCTTCAGCCTCCTGAGTAGCTGGGACTATAGGCACACACCACAGCACCCAGCCAGTATCATATTTTAATGACATATTTAGTCCAACTCTGCATGTGCAGTTTTCAAAGTCTGAAGTTCATAAAGGTTAGCAGCAGGCCAGTGGGCAAAGATCTACTTTGTTTAACTCCTTGAATAGCTGAACCTAAAGAATAGCTCCTCTCTCTGCAATAGTCCTGGCCTCATCTGCAGGCGGAGAAACATATAGGGGATAACAGCCAGTAAGAGAGCACACCAGGGAAGAAACCAGCATCCAGACTCCTTCCTAACAAGCCGTCAGAGATCATGCTACATTTGTTTTCTATTCTCTATAAAAACCACAGCAGGAGCTAGAAATCAGGTATTACCATACCCAAACATCACAAAGCTCGTTATTTTATTACAATTAGCTGACATGAGATGTTACCATCTATAGCATCCAATCTTTTACTCAAAAATACACTTGAATTTGCATAATTGCCAATTTTCATGGCTCTGAGTTTTAAAATTCTTATTGGACATAACAAGAAGGGCAGTTTTTGTTAGCCCCTCTGCTGGATACTCTCTAAAAGAATCATCCATTTTATTCAAGCAGAGCTCTTGGTCTTAACTTTCCTGCTTCTCCAGAGGTTCTTTAGGTAAATGTGGGTATAGTCAAAACAATAAAATGAACGCATTTAACAGTAGAGTGGCTCCTCAGAAATGGCATCTGCTGGGCGGTGTTTTCAGGAAAAAAGCCAGAGGATCTAGAGAGGAAATGAAGCAGGGCTGGCCACTGAGGAACCGGCACATGCTGCCTCTTTCTTCCTGTCCCAAAATGTGCAGTCATGTCCCAGGCAATGCCTGTGCTACCTCAACCTGTTTTTACATTGTAAATTAAGATGGTTTTTACATTTTTAAATGGTTATCAACACACAAAAAAAGAATGTGCAGCAGAGACCACACACCATCCATAAAGACAAAAATATTTACTACCTGGCTCTTTACAGAAAAATTTTGCTACTTAGAATAATAATAGGATGGCTCTTTCTCCCTACTCAACATTCAAGCATTTAGTCAAAACTAACTCACGACTGTCTACAGGGCGGTAACTGAGCCTCCCTATCAAAAAGGTCACAGAACTAGTGGTGGTGGTACAGGTAGAGTCCTTAATTCAGCAAACATTCACTGAGGGATTACTATATCCTGGACAAAGGAGATAAAACAATGAATAAAGACACATTCTCTATCCTCAAAAAGTTGCTGATCCAGTGAAAAAGACAAACAAGTATGCAAATCATTACCATCCAAAAAGATACACATTGGGTATGTCAGGTACACTAAAGAGGTATACCACCTCTGAAAAATAACTCCCTATGTATGAATGAGGTTAAAAGAGGAAAGTGCTGGCAGAGAGGTCCAGGAGTGCTGCAGAAATCCAGATAGAAGGTTAAGACTTCTGTGTGGGAGAGCAAGGGACATTCGGTAAGAGAGGAGCATATGAACGGTGCCCTAGGATGGTGGGCAATCCAGACAGGCAGAGAGGCTGCTCAATGAATTCAGGATCGAGGATGAAAATTAGAAGGTGCCTCTTCTTTCAGAGTGCCTAGGACTGCACCTCCAAGGTACAATACACCAAGTCCCAGACTCAAACCTCCAAAGTACAGGACATTACTCAAAGGAGAATAAAGAATGCACTCTTCTCACTTTAATCTTAAGTATTTACTCAGTAACATAGCAAAATATTTAGAGAAAAAGAAAACCAGTAAAGACCTTGTCAACTCAGGTTCTCAGGCAATTTTACACTCCATCTATTAAAATTTAGTAAGTAAAATCTGAATCCATTAACATTTATTTGAGTTGGTTAAATAAACCATACATTCACATACATGGACTACTTTACAGCCATTAACAATTAAGAACATGGGAAAGCATACCGCTCAGTAAAAAAAGCAGACAATGAAAAGACATATCTCACCTTTGAAAAAAAAAATCACACTTATAAAGATTAAAACATCAAACTGTTAAGAGTGGTTAGCTTCTCTCTGAAAGGTATGATGATAAATAATATTTTCTCCTTTCTTGCCTGGGTTTTCTATAATTACTATGTACTACTTTGGTAATGTGAAAGGGAAATACAATCTTAGGACTCCAAATTTACTACACCAAAGGAAAAGTTAAACTTGGAAACTGAATCTCACAAAACTACGCTCCTACTCTCCTTTTGTTCCTGAGCAGATAGCTGCAAAGACAGTGGCTCCCAGATGGCCACCCTCACAAACTGCCATAAGCAAATTCCTTGTGGGCCCCAAAATCTTTACCCTAAAAGACAGTCCTGTGGAATCTCCCTCACCCCGACAATGTAAATTAAGTTTATTTTCATAGGTATGGACCAAGACAAGACTAGAAAATCATCCCTCTGCCCACCCCAAAACAAATGCAGATTTGACTTCTTCCTCTACTCTACATTTACTTGGTCTTATATAAACTGCAGATCTACTGAGCAGGAGATGAATGTGTAACTGACTGTTCTTCTACCCTCTCCTTTCACATATAACGTGGATTCAGTGAGCACTAATCAAAGCCTCATAAGAATGTGACCACATCTCACTACTTACCCTCCGCTTTTGTTTCCATTCCTCTTTCCCCTCCTGTACAATCTTTCCCTGTTTAATACTGAAGTCCTCAAAACCCTCTTTGGAAAAAGCACAGGATACTAATCCTCCTATAGCTTGTGTCTCTTTCCCCTAGGCAGGTCCTCAACCTTGGCAAAATAAGCCTCTAAACTGACTGAGACTATAGTAATAAGAAAAACATGTTTTTAAAATCTGAGGTTAAAAAAACAACAATCATCAAACTACTAGGTATGTTATTTTTCTTCCTGTCACATCTAAGGACTAATTTCATCTACTCCACTTTATTCATTAAATTTAATAGGAAAACATCAAGTGTTCAGTTAACTCAAAAACTTAAGATGTTGTAAAAGAAAGGTAAACATTCTAAGAAATAAATGGAAGAATGTGAAATAAGGGCAGACTTACCAGCCATAAGCAAACAGATAATGCACATTGAAAAGGCAACAACCATGATAATAGGCAACTGGAAAAGACAATAGAAAGAGATCATTATTTAAGACTGCTAATCTAGTGGCTGCAAAATCAATTGTGCATGCACTGCTTGGGAAAGGAATAAAACTCATCTGTCAGCTAATATACACAGTTATCTTTTCTCAACAAAACATTATTTATGGGTTCAATCACAACTGCCCTAGTCTTTAGATGAGGAACGAGTTTTAAAAAAGCACCAGGACTGTGAACTACTGATGTGGAATGCTATTTTAAAAGACTAGAAGAAGTACGCTTTGTTCCAAGCCAGAGTGTTAAATGGAAGGAGGAGGCCTCCTCATCCTCCAGATGAGGACCCAGAACACTAGGCCTCCCTTCCATTCCAGGGCACTTGGCCCATTGGAAAGAAAATCCAGAGAGGCTCTTGAAGAATCTGATGAACAGAGGAGTCAAAAAGGAGAGAAGCATCAAAAATAAACTTTGCCTTCCAAGGAACAAGTTTGCCTATGGCAACTCCCTCAATGTAAGATAACTGAAGTTTTCTGAAATGAGAAATGAGAAACCTTCCACATTCCCTTTGCTTACGTGACTTCACATGAAAAAGATGTGTGAGACAGTCTGAGGAAAAGAAAAGAAATGCTCCAGAGTTACTGTACTCCTCAGCCTGACCTCTTCCTTTGGGGAAACTTAAGTATTTATATTTCATGCAATGAGATACAAAACAACATATAACATTTTTAAATTAAGGAGACTGAAACCATCTATACCTTCAGACACAATGCTTTTAACAACTTAAAAAATACAAAATGGTTTCTTACAGCCAGGAATTTCCAATCTCTTGGAACACTTAAAGGACTATGAGATTCTAATTCATCCACTGAATAGTTTCCAAGAAATAAGTCTATGGAATCCTAGAAGAGAAAGGAAGAAATTAGTAACTCTCCAAACTCAGTGTGATGACATTACTGATGAATAATGCAAAGATACAACCACCTAATGCCAGAAAAACATCAAATACAAACTTACTTGTCTAAATCCATCAGAGAAGTTGTTCTTATAATATCGTATCATTGAGTTCCAGCCATCCAGTATAAGTCCCAAATGAGTTCTCTTCCCAGTTCTGGTTAAAGAGGTTAAGTTTTAAGTTACAGGCTTGTACCCTGAATTCTCACATGGTTTTATGGCCAATGAGCACAAGGTATAGAAATAAGTGAGTGATGGATTTTAAAAACTATCCCTGAAAATACATACACTTCACAAAAGAAATCACTTGTAGGTCCAAGAAATATCTATTTTCTTTCTAAAATATTGCCAAAGGAGGCACAAAGAAAAATATTAATTCCAGTTGCCAAGACAGGAAACATGAAGAGAAATACATAGCCCAGGTTAAGTGGTAGGACAAAGCAAACCAAAGAGACTAGAAATTGTATTCTGCTCCCAGGGAACCCATATAGCAGAAAAAGAGCCACTGCATGCATAATACATTCAAAATGTTCTAATTCCTCATTACTCAATGTGGTCTTTGAAAGCAGCACCAGCAGCACCAGTGTGCTTTTTAGAGGTACACATCTCAGGTCCTGCAGCAGACCTGCTGAATGAGACTGGTGTTTCAAGTACACACTGTCGAGCAGTGGCTCTCAACCCTCCCCATGCATCAGAATCTCCTAGGGTGGCTAAGGACACACCAGCACCTCAGCCTCATCTCCCAGCAATCCTGATTCTGCAGGTCTCAAGTGAGGCCCAGATGCTGGAGTTTTGCTGCTGTTACTGCTATTGTCTGAAAGTTGCCCAGGTGATTTTTAAAAGCACCAGGACTATGAACTACTGATGTGGAATTCTATTTTAAAAGTATGGCTTGCCTGGTAAAGTCAGTCTTCAAGGCACCAGTTCCTGCATATTGCTTGGCACAAGCATTTGCATTGTCAGCCCAGGCTGTAAAAAATGGTAAAAACAGCTGGTAATGATTAAGATGACAACCAAAGTTCTAAATCCAGAATATTAATTTATTTCAAAATTTGAGCAACTTTGTCTATATTAAATTACCTACCATTTTTGTAAATCTTCTCAAATTCATCTTGTTCTTCAAGCTTTTGTCCCACATGCAAAACTCCTAGTCTCTGGAATGAAAACCGCACCCAGATTTATGTGTAACAGATTTTAGCAGACATGATTTAGGAAGAAGAAGCAGTCCCCAAATTGTAGCTCATGGTTCCTGGTTACTAGATGCAGGCACAGGAAGCCCCAGCTCACAGCAGCCCTCTCCTGCCCAGGGCAGACTGCAAAGCCCCTCCTGAGGGCATCTTTGCCTTGTAGCCCCTGTACTCCCTGAGGGACAGAAGCAGGACTATACTGAGAGAGACAGTCAGGAGGGAGAGTGAAAGCTGCTGCAGGATTCCAGCCATTCCTCCCTCCCTCTCACCCCCAACCTTCCACTGCCAACACCCCTTGAGACTCCTTCATATGCATCATCCCCCAACTTCTTCCCTGCCGAGTCACCCCAACCTTACCCTCTGTCCCAGGAACCTTTTGAGAATCTGATGAATGCCACCTAATCCACCTCCACAAAAGCACACACACACATACCTTCACATAGATTATTACGGCGTTTCTGGACCCCCTGAATCTCCTCTGTGGACTCCCCTTTGGAGACCACCAACCACAGATGGAGAGTCCCCGCCTTGTCTCAGACCATCACCTCTCAGAACCACCATCTTCATTGCTCACCTCAGAAGATACCTCATCTCCACCTCAGAAGGACTCATTCCCACCCTCAGACAAGCACAGGAATCACCTTGGTGACCTTTAGGTAGGTAAGGACTCTGCCTTCACTAGCAGGCTTGGAGAGGCACAAGTAGAAAGCTCCTATACTAGCAGGCAAAGCTGCTGGAGAGGCTTCTGCCCAGGGACTCTCTAAAGGTTGGTTAGGTTTCATAATACTATATATAGCATGTAAAATTGTAAAATATGGATTGCAGGACCTAGTCAAGTAAGTTTTGGTTAATCAGCCATTGAATCAAACGATTCCTACTATTGTTTCTACTAAAAAAATACACCTAGAAGACCTTCTAACAGACAAGGACAGCACAATTACAAACCAGAGACTACTCAAACAGGACAGCACTCCTTCGGCAAGTGCGACTTTAAGATTCAAGAACAATTCATTCTGAAGAGGGTATTTTACCTCCATAATTTCTTTCTCGGTATCATAAATTTGTCAGAAATAAAGCTAAATGCTTACTAATTATCTGAATAGGAAATCACGTGGTATGTATGCATTTGTCTGCCCCTCACAACAAATGCCAACGGGATTTAGAAACTGAGGCTCTACATCTTTTTTCATTCCAAATATACACAGAAGAAAAAAGCTATTTTTCTCATCAGCATAAGTGGTAAAGCAAAGCTGTGTCAGAAACTTTTCACTTTGGAGTTAATATCTTTTGCTAGTAATAAGAGAGATAAATGAAAACAATCTTGAGATGCTACTTTTGTACTAATGAAATAGAAAAAAGAGGCTGGACACAGTGCCTCAATCTTGTAATCCCAGCACTTTGGGAGCTAAGGCAGGCAGACTGCTGGAGCCCAGGGGTTTGAGACCAACCTGGGCAACATGGTGAAATCCTGTCTCTACAAAAAAATATAACAATTAGCCATGTGTGTGGCACATGCCTGTAGCCCCAGCTTCATAGGAGGCTGAGCTGGCTGGATGGCTTGAGCCCAGGAGGCGGAGGTTGTCAACCTGAGATCGCACCACTGCACTCCAGCCTGAGTGACAGAACTGTACCCCATCTCAAGAAAAAAAAATTTAAATTAAAAGATCTAATGCTGAAAAGAGTTCAATAAAATGGATTTACTTATTCATTGCTGGTGTCAGTATAAATTGGTATGACCCTCTTGGAAAATAACATATTTATTCTCTTTAACCCAGTAATTCCACTTCTAGTAATTAACATGAAGGAAATAATTCAAGTTAATAATAACATATGTAGATGCATTCTCTACAGTGTTATTTATAAACCAAAAATGTAGCAATCTGAATGGCTTAGTAAATTACAGCACAACAATATAACCATCAGAAACTGTGATTACATAAATACTAAGGGAAAATGACAAAAGTGAAAACTGCATACACAGACTGACCATAGTTATGGAAAATGTGACATCCATGGGCAAGACACAAAAACAAAAACAGCTGGGTTAGGGTGGGGGCAATGTGAATATTTTTTATTACTGGTTTTTAAAGAAGACGTTTAATTTTTTGCTGTATTGTTTTTGATTTATTAAAAAAGAAGAAACAAACATTCGCACCTGAAGTTGGGCCTGAAGTGAACGACGAGCTAACAAACTCTGGATCACATTGGTTCTATCTAGACAATCCATGCAATTGCTTCTGAACACACCTTCCTGGTTTGTCACCACTTGGCCAGCAGAGTCCACTAGAAAATAACTAAAACATATTTGTATAAACACTCTCATACCAAAGTAGGTCAGATCTACTAAGGACATAATTTTTATAACATGCCTCATTTCAGTGACATTATTAAAAACTGTAAATTAAAAGGTCAAATAGGAATGTGTGGTCAGGCATGTGATTATCCTAGACCAAAAAGAAGTCTTAACAGCTGAGACAAGACAGCGCCCCCACCCAAAAAACAGCTGAAGATTAGAGATCATCTCATCCCAAAGATGTGAAAAAGTAGAGTAATGCGTATTAAAAAGGTTGCTGTACAAATCAATCACGTTTCCCAAAGCCAGATAAGGGTTTCCTCTAACATAATTATTGCAACTATATCCCTACATATCAGGGTATTATGATTCCTATACTATTTTTAGAATCCTCTGGGTTGCTTGTGAAAAAGATTTCTGACCTTGAGATCAACTGAATCAGAATCTCCTAGGCAAGGACTGAATATTTTGCATTAAAGATACTTTTAGCTGGGTGTGGTGGCTCATGCCTGTAATCCCAGCTCCTTGGGAAGCTGAGGTGGAAGGATTATTTGGGCTCAGGAGTTCGAGATGAGCCTGGGCAACATAACAAATCCCTGCCTCCAAAAGAACAAAAACTTGGCCAGGCATGGTGATGCATACCTGTAGTCAGAAGGCTAAAGTGGGAGGATCACTTGAGCTGAAGGGTTAAAGGCTGCAGTGAACTATGATCACACCACTGCACTCCAGCCTGAGTGACAGAACGATATTCTGTATCTTTAAAAAAAAAATTTAAATACTTAAAAAAAAAGTTGTTTTTTTTTTTTTTTGAGATAGAATCTTCCTCGGTTGCCCAGGCTGGAGTACAGCGGTGCGATCTTAGCTCACTGCAACCTCTGCCTCCCAGGTTCAAGTGATTCCTGCCTCAGTCTCCTCAGTAGCTGGGATTACAGGCACATGCCACAATGCCTAGCTAATTTTTGTATTTTTAGTACGGATGGGGTTTTGCCATGTTGGCCAGGCTGGTCTTGAACTCCTGACCTCAGGTGATCTGTCTGCCTCGGCCTCCCAGAGTGCTGAGATTACAGGCATGAGCCACTGCCCCTGGCCCAGAAAAAAAAGAAAATTATTAAATGGGTAATACATGCAAATAGTACAAATTTATAAAACACAATTGGGTATTATTTGAAAAACCAGTTTCCCTTTCTCTGCTTAAACACCCAGATGTCTGTACTACAACCAACCACAGTTACCAGTTCCCATGTTTTCTTTAACAAGCTTCTTGATAATTCTATGAACCCAAGAATCTAACATAGCGTGGTGGTTAAGAATATGGATTCAGGAAGCCAACAATCTGTTTGCTAGCCTTAGCATCATAGGCAACTTACTAACTGTAGAACTTTAAATAGTAAGTTTTTCATCCACAAAATGGAGGCAACAGCAGCACCACCATTAGGCTTCTCTAAGGTTTGAATGAGGTAACACATAATGCACATAAAGTACTTAGCACAGTGTACGGAACACAGCATACAATAAATACTGGATAATATTAACTACTGAAATTATTCTCCAAAATCCAAAAGAAGGAAGAAAATGCAACAGATTCATCAAGGGCTAAATACCAATCATGACCTTAGGAGTAAGAGCCTGGAAGAATGTATTAGGATGAAAAATCTACATATGGATCATGCAGAATGGTGAGGTTTGTTGGTGTACATATATGTGCATGCAAGGGTGCATATGTGTGTTGGTACCCCATTAGTATTTATAAAATCCTAGATATGTTATAAATATTATCGCTTAAACCATACAGTAAGTTATCAATTCCGCTTTGCAAATAATGAAACCAAAGTCTGAAGATAACAAAGTGGCCCTGGGTCATATAACTACTAAGAGAAAAACTTAAATTCAAACCAAGGTGTATTGGACCCCCAAAGCCCAGGTTCTTCCCACTATCCCAAAAGTCCCCAGAGAAAAATCTTGAGAGATTATCTGAAAGTCACCAGTGAAAGCTCTGCTCTCCCTGTGGATCACCGTGAATGGCAACAAACACACTCTGGAGTCAACCCTTTCTTATGCTCTTGTACGCCACAGTTAATGGGCGAACCCAAGGAACCACCTCCTCCAACAACATGCCAGGCCCAGCCAATGCTCTCTCTAATTGCCCAACAACAGTAGCTCAATTTCCCTTCTGTGTTCATGACAAAACCTCACAGGAAAAAAAGCGGATTTAAATAACTGTAGTTGATTACCTAATGCATATAAAAAGATATTTTTGAAAGTTGAGCAAATGTCTATCAAACAGGTTTTACTATGTTATTGTGTAACTAAAATTTAAAAGTGCATTTGGGTTGCCGGGTTTAGAACTATCACACACAGGCAGAAGAAAATGATAGTATGGTTTACAGATTCCTTCTTCTGGCTTTAAAATCAAGACTGACACGCATCGAGTACAGTAAACCTGAACCAATATGATAAATAATACAGTACTGCAAAGACAGTCAGACCTTTTGATCCATTAATACTACTCTGAAAACTTTTTTTAAAGAAATCAGTTTAACAGACATAAAACATAGTGATCTGTGGCACCACAATCTTTCATGATAGAAAGAGGAAATGAAACAATCCAGATGCTCAGTGTGAAGAAAAGCACTTCCTTAGAACTATGTTATGACAAAACAGAATACAGAAAAGCCATTAAACACCATCATTACAAACACTGCACAGGTTAGCAACAAAGTACTAACATTGTGACAGAATGTCTAGGGGAAACAATATAAAATGTAAACCAAGTTCGATTATATAAAAAATTGTAAATGTGTGGTAGATATTTTATAAAAATATGAAAATACCTGGCCTAAGGTCATTTTTAAGAATTTAAGAATATTTTAAAGTCACTAACTCTCATCTTTCCAGTAAATAAATTAAAAATAATAAAATAGTACAGACAAGCACTGACAATCCAGTGAACTATATTTGTAAGTCTGCTAGACTATGCATAACATGACTGATATATATACCTCTTCTACCTCCACATAAGGAAATAACATAGCTTACCTTAATTCATCTTGCATTTCTGCTACTTGATCCAATAAAATACTTAGTCGATCCCATCTCATATTTTTACATTCCTTATGGAAGTCAAAGGCAATGTATCTACCAAAAGAAAAGATATTCAGAAATTGACCAGAGATCGTTCATTTTCCTTCTATTAATAATTCCTTCATAAACTGATTTTCCCCTTTATATCAGTGCATATATATTTCTTGGGAACACTGGAGCTTTCTTCACTCTGGGTTTATCACTATACATATACTACACACACGTACATGCACGCGCACACACACACACACACACACACACACATCTTCTTATGCTCATAACTAACAGGAAAAAAAATATATATGATATGTATGGAGATATATACATATATATATATGTATACATAAAAATACATGCATATATCTATCCTCACATGTTCTTCTGGGGCCCTCAGCAAGGAGCAGAGAAGCACAACAAATGAGTAAGCTCAAGTACAGCAATCAGGTATGCAGTGCAAAGAGGCCTAGTCCACATTGCTCAAGACACTTCCAATGGCAAAGCATTATCTGTGAAAACTCTCTGGGGCACAAAGCCTCAATGAGGAAATTTTAATCAGACACTAAACTTAAATTAAAATTTGACTGAAGTTATTCTACAACGTACATTATGCTAGAGAAATTTCAAGCCAACAAAATATCTTGCTTTGATCAACTACTGAAAAAAGTGCAAGCTGAAATATATATGTCTAGTGAGCTCTACATAATCATGCACATATTTAAGTACACATCTGATCTGAAAAGACCTGCAACAGATTTCTAGTGAGGTACCTCATCATTCCACTTCCCAAAGAAGACACCATTGTTGCAAATGTCTGTTCAAGTGGCTTCTCTGAGCCCTTCTGGTTAATCTGTAAAAAATTTCAAACACCATACATAGTTTTCAGTTCATTTCAAAGGAGAGAATGACATCAGAAAAAGGCAAACTAGGTTTATATGCTCTCGTTCTCCAATATAAACATCAAAAAACACCCAGAAGCTAGCTGAGCCAACTTTGTAGCAGCTCTGAAAAATGATCAAAGGTTTTGTAACCCACCCAAGAACCCAATAAAGAAAAAGTCACTTTCAAATGGTGGGAAAGTTTTGTGGCATTTACCTAGTCCTTGACCCAACCCCTCCACAGAGTAGTGACAACCTGTCTTACATGGGAATAACATGGTTCTCAGTTCCCCTCATCAAACTAGAAGAGACAGACCAGATCTTATCTGCTAATAATTGTGTTAAATATTTGTTAAAGGACTAATTTGTGTCTGTCCCATATAAATCTGAACACAGACAGTAAAAATGGTGACCACTGCTTGTAAAAGCTGCAAGAGGATCATAAACCAATAGATGCCTGGGGCAAAAAAATTATGGATGGAGACATACAACAGACCACCTAAAGACTGGAGAAGAAGATGGTGATATTCTTTTGGAAATTAGGACATTCAAAAACAGCCATGTATATGAAGGAGTTTTGAAGGCCACCCATATAGGCAGGTAAGATGCAGGCTCAGAAGAGTCCTGAGAAGACCTTAAACCTTTACCTCAGACTGATGCCTAGACTCACAGCCTGCCTAATCTGTAAAGGACTGCCCCAGCACAGAGCTTTTGCCAAAACTGTTTTTAAGTTTGGAAAAAGTCTCAAAATAAATGGATTAGTAGTCTTTAACAATCAAACAAAATTTAAAAACCCACCAAACACTAGGGGAAAAGGAGACTCTGACTTCCAGAGTTATGATATTATAATAAACAAACATACAATTAAAAAAAAAACACAGGTAAACAAAGAAACAGAAAAACATGGCTCATTCAATGGAATCTAAGAAATTGACAGAAACTGTTCCTGTGAAAGCCAAGACATTAGACTTACTGACAAAGACTTTAAAGCAACTGTCTTAAATACACTCAAAGAGCTAAGGGGAAACGCAGACAAAGAAATAAATCAGAAAAACAATACATAAACAAAATGAGGATATCAATGAAAAAAATTATAAGAAGCGAAAAAACAATTCTGGAGCTAAGGAGTACAAAAACTGAAATAAAATATTTTACACTATGGAAATGCCAGGAATAAAGAAGCAGAGAGATTATCTGAAGAAAACAAAAAACAGCCAAAACCTTCCCAAATGTGATGAAACATATCAATCTGCAAATCCAAGAAGTGCTCTGAACTCTAAGGGGATCCACACCAAAAACATTATAATCTTCACATAGTGAAAGACAGAAACAGAATCTTGAAAAGCAGCAAGAGAGAGGAGACTCATCACACACAAGAGATTCTCAATGGGATTATCCACCAGTTTCTTATCAGAAATCTTGGAGGCTGGAAGACAGTAGGATCATAATATATTTTAAATGCTAGAAGAAGAAAAACTGTCAGCCAAGAATTCTATAGCTGGCAAAACGTCCTTTAAAAATGAAGGAAAAATTAAGACATTCCTAGAGAAACAAAACATGAGGTAGTTCATTATCATTAAACTTGAACTATAAGAAATGCGCTAAAGTGAGGTCCTTCAGTTTGAAATCAAAGGATGCTACGCAGTAATTTGAAGCCATACAGGGATAAAAAAAACTCCAATAGGCCAGGCGTGGTGGCTCACACTTGGAATCCCAGAACTTTTAGAGGCCGAGGCAGGTGGATCACCTGAGGTCAGGAGTTTGAGACCAGCCTAGCCAACATGTCAAAACCCTGTCTCTACTAAAAAAAATACAAAAATTAGTTGGGTGTGGTGGCACACACCTGTAATCCCAGCTGCTCAGGAGGATGAAGCAGGAGAATCACTTGAGCTCAGGAGGCAAAAGTTGCAGTAAGCCCAGGTCACGCCACTGTATTCCAGCCTGGGTGACACAATGAGACTCCGTCTCAAAAAAAAATCCAATAAAGGTAAAGACAAGGGCAAACATAAAAGCCAGTATTATTGAAATCTTAATCTGTAACTCCACTTTTTATTTCTACAGGTTTAAGTCAAGTGTGGTCAGGAATGGTGGCTCACATCTATAATCTGAGCGCTTTGGCAGGCTGAGGCAAGAGGATGGCTTGAGGGCAGGATTTCAAGACCAGCCTGGGCAACATGGTGAATGAGACCCCATCTTTATAAAAAACATGAAAAAATTGGCAGAGCATGATAGCATGTGCCTGTAGTCCTAGCTGCTCAGAAGCTGAGGGGGGAGGATTCCTTTAGCCCAAGAGTTAGAGATTACACTGAGCTGTGATTGTGCCACTGCATGCAAGACTGGGCAACAGAGCAAGACCTTTTCTCTAAAAAATAAACGCATGCATACATAAATAAAAGCCAACTGCATAAAAATAATTATATATTGATGTTACTGGAAACAATATACAAAGATGCAATTTGCAATGTCAATAACATAAGAAGGAAGCACAAGGCTTTATAGGAGTAGAGTTTTTGTATGCCTCTGGTATCAATTCAAATTAGGTACTTATAAAATTAGGAAGTTATATGTAATCCTCATGGTAACCACAAAGAAAACAGCTATAGAATATAAATAAATGAAAATAAGAAGGTGGCCGGGAATAGTGGCTCACACCTGTAATCCTAGCACTTTTGTAGGCCAAGGCAGGTGGATCATGAGTCAGGAGATCAAGACCATCGTGGCTAACATGGTGAAACCCTATCTCTACTAAAAATACAAAAAAGTAGCTGGGCGTGGTGGCAGGTGCCTGTAATGCCAGCTACTTGGGAGGCTGAGGCAGGAGAATCGCTCGAACCTGGGAGGTGGAGGCTGCAGTGAGCTGAGATTGCACCACTACACTCCAGCCTGGGTGACAAAGTGAGACTCCATCTCAAAAAAAAAAAAGAGAAGAAAATGAAAAGGTAATCAAAATGTATCACTACCAAAAAAAAAAAAATCTTAAGCACAATGAGAGACAGTAATGGAGAAAATGACGAACAAAAATCTATAAGACACGCAGAAAACAAATAGCAGAAGTAAATTCTTATCAGTAATTATTTTAAATGTAAATGGATTAATTATCTAATAAAAATAAATAGACTAGCAAAATGGAAAAAAAATATGATCTAACTACATGCTATCTCTAAGAGATTCACTTTACATCTAAAGACACATATAGGTTGAAAGAAAAAGGATGAAAAAGATATTTTGTGCAAATAGTAATCAAAAAAGAGCTGGAATAACTATATTAGTACCAGACAAAATACACTCTAAGTGAAACAATGTTACAAGAGACAAAGACATTATTTATTGATAAAATGGCCAATATTCCAAGAAGATACAATTATAAACATATGCAACAAACCATGACAGCCTGAAAATATAATGAAGCACACAGACAGAACTGAAGGGAGAAAGAGTAAATTATGTGATAGTAGAAAACTCAATAGCCCACTTTCAATAACAGAAAAATCAGACAGAGACAAATAATAAAATAGAGAATTTAAACACCAACATAAGCCAATCAGACCTAACAGACATATACACATTACTCTACCCAACAACAGCAGAATACACGTTTTATAAGTACACATGAAATATTTTCTAAGACAAACTATATTCCAGGCCACAAAAGAAGTTTTAACACATTTAAAAAAACTCAAATCACATTAAGCATATATTTTGATCACAAAAGATGGAAGCTAAAAATCAAGAATAGAAGGAAAACTAGAAATTTCACAAATATGTGGGAAAAAAACATACTAAACCACTGGTTCAAAGAAGAAATCCCAAAAAGAGAAATTAGAAAATACCTGAGACAAATGAAAACAGTAACACAATATACCAAACAAATGAAATAAAGCAAAAGCAGTGCTGAGGAAAAGCTGCCGCTGTAAATACATAAAACATTAAAAAAGAAAACCTCAAAGCAATAATCTAATTTTACACTTTAAGAAACAAGAAAAAGAAAAGCAAACTAAACCCAAAGCTACCAGAGCAAATAAATTAGAGTAGAGATAAATAAAAGAGAAAAAATATAAAAGCAAAGTCTATAAAACTAAAAGTTGGACTTTGAAAAGATCAACAAAATTAACAAACTTTTAGCTAGAATGACCAAAACAAAAGACTCAACTTACTAAAATCAGAAATGACAGTGTGACTATTATTACAAATTTCTGAGAAACAGAAAGGATTTTTACAGAATATTACGAGCAACTATATGCCAGCAAGTAGGATGAGCCAGAATGGCAAATTCCTAGAGACACATAATCTGCCAAAACGGAATCATGAAAAAATAGAAAATCTAAATAGACCAATAAATAGTAAGGAGATCTCATCAGTAATGAAAACAAACAGAAAAAAAAAGTCTCCTAACAAAGAAAGTCTGTACTAGATGGCTTTACTAGTGAACTCACTAGTGAACTCTACCAAAATTTAAAGAAGAATTAACACCAGTGTTCCTCAAACCCTTGCTAAAAGCTGGAGAGAACACTTTCTTATTCCATAAAGATATGATTATCCTGACCTCAAAACCAAACAAAGATATTACAAGAAAACTACAAGCCAATATCCGTTAAGAATATTAATGTAAAGATCCCCAACCAAACACTAGCAAGCCCCGTCTCTACTATAAATACAAAAATTAGCTGGGTGTGGTGAGTGTGCCTGTAGTCCCAGCTACTCGGGAGGCTCAGAGAGGAGAATTGCTTGAACCTGGGAGGTGGAGGCTGCAGTAAGCCAAGATCACACCACTGCACTCCAGCCTGGTGCCTGGCAACAGAGCAAGACTGTCTCAAAACAAAACAAAACAAAAAAATATATACCACAACCAAAAAGATTTATTTCCACAATGTAAGGCTGGTTCAATATACAACAATCAATCAATATAATACACCACATTAGGAGAATGAAGGAAAAATAAAATAAAATGAGCACCTCAATTGATACAGAAAAGTATTTGACAAAATGCAACTCCCTTTCTTGATAAAATCACTCAACTGAATAAAACTTAGAAAAAGAAGAAAAGTTCCTCAACATAAAGGCCATTATGTGAAAAACCCACTAGTATCATATTTAATGATGAAAGACTAAAAGCTTTTCTATGAAAAGGAATAAAACAAGGATGCTTGCTTTCACAATTTCTGTTCAACACAGTATTAGTAGTTCTAGCAACAGCAATTAAGCAAGAAAAAATAAATAAAAGGTATCCAAATTGGAAAGGAAGCGTAAACTTATCTGTTCACAGGTGACACGATCTTATATACAGAAAATCCTAAAAATTCTGTAAAATAGCTGTTGGAAATAATAAATTCAATAAAGTTGCAACATACAAAAATCAAGACAAAATAATCAGTTGCATTTCTATATACTAAAAATGAAATATCCAAAAGGAAAAGTACAAAAACAATTTCACTTACAATAGCAAAAAAAAAAAAAAAAAAAAAAAACACCACTCAGGCATATAGAAAATACTCAAATATAAATCTAAACAAGGAAGTGAAATGCATGTACACTGGAAACTACAAAATAATGCTGAAAGAAATTTTTAAAAATATAAATAAATGAAGACTTCTGCATTGATGGACTGATGGACTGACAAACAGTATTATTAAGACAACAGTACTACTCAAAGTGATCAATCTGCAGATTCAATGCAACTGCTACTAAAATCCCAAAGGCATTTTTTTCAGAAATAGAAAAACCAAGCCTAAAATTCATAAGCAATCTCAAGGGATCTCAAATAGCCAAAACAATCTTGAAAAAGGAGAAGGAAGTTGGAATTCTCACACTTCCTGATTTTAAAACTTATTACACAAAGCTGTAGTAACCAAAATAGTGTCATCCTGTCATAAGGACAGGCACAGAAAGCAATGGAATAGAACAGAGCCTCAAAATAAGACCTTGCATATACATTCAATTGATTCTTTATAAGGGTGCCAGACTATTCAACAGGAAAAGAACAGTCTTTTTTACAAATGGTGCTGGGAAAACTGGAAATCCACATGCAAAACAATGAAGTTGGACCCTTACCTATATTATATACAAAAATTAACTCATGTGCATTGTTAAGAAGTAATATACACAAAAAACAAAAATTAACTTGAAACATACAAAAAACCAAACTGTAAAATCTGAAACTATTAAGACTCTCAGAAAGAATATATAGGAGTAATTTTATGTTACTGGACTTGGTGACAATTTCTTGAATATGACACCAAGAGCAGAGGTAACAAAAGAAAAACTAGATAAGCTGGACTTAAACATTTTGTATACCAAGGACATTGTCAAGAAAGTAAAACGTCAACCCAAAGAGTGGGAGAAAATATTTGTAAAGCACCTATCTGCTAACAGATTAATATCCAGACTTCATATTAATGACTACAACTCAAACAAACAACCTAATTAAAAGATGGGCAAAGGATTTATGTAGACATTTCTCTAAAGATACACGAATGGCCAATGAGCACATGAAAATAAGCTCAAAAATCATACAAATTATGAGAGAAATGTAAATCAACACCAGGAGACACCACGCCACATCCATCAGGATGGCTGTAATGAAAAACACACACACATACACAAAACAGAAAACAACTGTCAACAAGGATATAAAGAAACTGGAACTCTGGTATATTGCTGGTGGGAATGCAAAATGGTGCAGCCACCATGGCAAACAGTATGGTGGTTCCTCAAAGAGTTAAACGTAGAATCACCATATGACCCAGCAATTCTACTTCTAGGAATAAGCCCAAAAGAACTGAAAACAGGGACTCAATCGAACAAATACCTGCACACCACCAATGTTCATAGAAACATTATTTGTAATAGTCAAAAAATGGAAACAAGCCAAATATCCATCAATAGATGAATGGATAAACAAAATGTGGTGTGTATGTATGTGTGTGTATATACATACACAATGGAATACTATTCAGTCTTAAAAAAAAATGGGGACGGGCGCAGTGGCTCACACCTGTAATCCCAGCACTTTGGGAGGCCAAGGCAGGCAGATCACCTGAGGTTGGGAGTTTGAGACTAGTCTGACCAACATGGAGAAACCCTGTCTCTACTAAAAATACAAAATTGGCCAGGCATAGTGGTACATGCCTGTAGTCCCAGCTACTCGGGAGGCTGAGGCAAGAGAATCACTTGAACCCGGGAGGCAGAGGTAGTGCTGAGCAGAAATCGTGCCATTGCACTCCAGCCTGGGCAACAAGAGTGAAACTCCGTCTCAAAAAAAAAAAAAAGGAATGAAATTCTATACATGCTACAAGATGGATGAACCTTAAAAACATTTTTAAAAAGGCAAATAATGTATTATTCCACTTACATGGGGTACTTAGAATAGATAAATTCAGAGAGACAGAAGTAAAACAGAATTACCAGGGGTTGTGGGGAGGGAGGTAATGGAAAGTTAACTGGGTAGAATTTTCCCGATACGATGAAAAGCTGTAGAAATGAACAGTGATGATGGCTTCACATTCTGAACTACTTATTGCCACTGAACTGCACACTTAAAAATGGTTAAAATAGTAAATTTTCTGTCAAGAAAAAGTTAAGTTGTTTTTGTTTTTCTCCCCTAAGAAACATACCAGATTGATTATGACTTGTTTTCCATAAATAATTACTTGGGAATCAAAATGCCTTTGGAAACCATCCATCTAGAAGGAAAAAAGTTACATATTTTACTGGAGTACATTATGTAATTTATAAACATAATTTAAATATTTATAATACTTTAATAGGACCTCCTTAATTGTCTAATTTCTATATTCAAAAGAATGATGGGAGGATGTGGACAACGTCTTCTAGATATTCTAAACGCCATCTAGTAACCATAAGCTATTTTACTCCGAGCTGCAACACTACCACTTTAATTCTGAATACAATCTCAGCGGAATATATTAAGTACTCTAAAAAGCATAAAGTTACAAATCTTACTGAGATCTCTCAAATCCTTACTTTCCATGCCATTCAATCATTTGTTTTTCTGTATTTCTAATATGCCACCTACACACCTTTTGGTTTAGGGGTTTACTATGTGCTAGAATCAAAAAGAAGGGCCTTAAAGATGTTGAAGGCTGATTTGTCGGGAATAAATACATTCTTTATATGCAAATTATAATGCTATTAAGCTTCTACTTTTAGCCAACAAGAAAGGCATGCAAGATACACACATGATTTGCTACTTTGCTGATCTGTGGCCGTGGTTTGTACTTGAGGTTTGGTCTTTGGGACCAGAAAACAGGTATTGATCCCCGAGTCTAAAAGAAAAGACAGAAATGTGAAAAGAAACACAAACATACTTGTTTTTAATCACCTTACTTACTGTCAGGGGTATACGCATTAAAGACTATGCAAGGAAAAAAAGTAATACAACCTACCATTTTAAAAGTCCATGTTAAAAAAGAAGCCCACGTGCATCTGCTCCTAAAGTTCTTACTTTATGAGAAAACACTTAGAGCTTTTTCTCCTTCTAGTTTTATATACATGGTTTTATATAAATAAATTCTTTATTTCCTTGAAATTCTAAATTTATGAGTAAAACTTAACAGATTACCTCTGTTAACTTGGCATTATGAAAAAATCAGAAAACTGCTTTATTCATTTTCAAATGCATATGTTTATGAACATATGAATATATCTGGCCACTAACGCTCCGGAGCAGCAAGTGGTCCACAACTCCAAAGGCAACAGAAGAGACATCTCAAAGTGGCAGGTAAAGTCAGTAATAAGCCATCAGCTTGTCCTATCATCACTACCTTGAATACGTGTAAAGGATTCAACAGACGGATAGCTCCATTTCCATAACTCTCTTTCCAACTCCTACCCTACCCTTTCCTCTAGGGATTTAATATAAGGGCAGGAAATGGCAGCTGGTTAGTGCCAGATTAATGGATTTTCCTTTCTTGGGGTAAACTTTTTCTAGACTGTAGATAAAAATATTACATAAGAACAGAGGGGAAGGGAAAACAGGGAAATTTCAACATGACAGAAAATTACAATCCAAGCAGAAAAGGCCAACTCGCTGCTTAACAGACCTAGTAACTTGCCTGTACAAATGAAGCTTTGCTCCCATTGTAGTGCACAATTTGTTCTGTTTCTACAAAGTTAGCTGCATGGCCTTCAGAATCAATTCCTAAATTGAAAAAAAATTTAAGAATTAATTATATTTATTACGTAAGAAACAAATCAGAAACCCACTAATTCAGGTTAACTTGGAGAGAATTAAGTCAGTTCAAATTAGTGGAAAGTCATTATGAAAATATAATTGCAACAAATTCATTATACATGATCAGAAAACTAACAGAAGCTCACACTTTAAACCAGCTGAAAGAGGAGTATTAAAAGCCTATTAATAAACAGATGAAGTTGGTTGCTCTTAAATACATTGATTGTTACTACATACAAGATTTCTCTAAAATAGAGTTTCTCAAACTGGAGACATCTTTTAAAGAAAAAAGAAAAAACTTCTCAAGGACCCCTGAGTAAATGTTTTAGATCCTAATTTGAAAAGTACTAGTTTGAAAGGTAAAACTATCAATTTAGGTAATCATACTTAGTAACAACACAATACTTAATGTAAACATAAGCCATTTTATTAATAATATTTTGTTATAATAATGCAAATGGTCTCCAGCAGATGCTTAAACTGATTTTAACTATCTAAATAAAAACACAAAACTGTTTGTGATCCTCTTTAACTCCATGAATATGCTTACAAAACCTAGTTTGAAAAGCAGTGTTTGGATTCTTGATACTGTTTAGTTCTTTCAAATATTTGAAGCATTCCTTTAAAAATTTGTTTATGTAATCTATTTTTACTAAGAAAAGCTTGCTAAGCAAAGGCAACTTTCAAGCTAGTCCCTGATCCAAATTACCAAATAATCAGAAAGAAATCAATGGATTTTTAACTGTCCCAAGTATTTCCTAACATCCTTTCTGACATGTTTCTCACATATAACATGTAGAAGAATATGTATGTAAAGTATCACTGTTTTTGTCAACATATCACCAGAAGGGGCCAAAATTACTGAGCCAAATCAGCAATGTCATGACTCCTTAATACTCTATGAGATTACTTTTCAGAAGCATAGGTTGTGCTTGCTTCCTTTCGTAATTCCCGCTAAGCAACAATATCCAATTATTTTTAGAAGTGAAAGAGTCAGAGACAGTATGTGTTTGTGTGTATAAAAGATCTTTATAAAAAGATTTACAAAATATATTAAGAAAAAAAGGGAATCAAGGTGCAGAAAAATGTTCACAGAATATAATCATTGTCTAAAAAAGGAGAAGGACACACACCTGTATTAGCATAAAAATTATCCAGAAAGATAACAAGAAACTAACATCTGATTAGCTGGTAAGGGGGTAAGAACTGAGCAGATAAGGTCAGAAATGAGAAATATTTTTTATTGAATTAAAAAAAAATACTTTTTGATATTTGAAATATGTAAATGCATTACTTGTTCAAAAAAACTTAATCAAAAACTATGTTTCCATCCAAGAAAACCTAGTTATAAGGGAGTTGCTAACTTTAATTTTGGTTTGAGATATTGACCAGTTTACTCACTCAATGTTATTCTTCCTCTGCTAGGAGAGAGATTAACCAAATAATCTCTACAACTTTCTGGCCCCATGCTACAATTTATTTAATGGCTGATATATTAAATATTTATATTATTAAATATTATATTAAATAAAATATGCTGATATATTCTGGTTAAAAAAATAGAGAGGTTGGAGAAACTTCTTTTCATAATGACAGTCAGCTTTAACACATTTTTATACATTTAATACAGGTTTAATATATTTTTAAAGTTTAGTTTAGCAAAATAAGCAGGTTGCTAGTACAAAGCCTAGAAAATAAAAGGTCAAAATGTAAATTGAAGGCATAAAGCCAAATGACTAGCTTCATGCATGCAGAAAACCTAAAACCAATACAAGAAAATACTTTAGGTTACTGAAAACTACACTGAGTTTAGCTGCACTTTCAGACATCCAGCAAACAACATGATCAGTTCCTCTTCAAGCAATAAGAAGCAGACTACAGGTATCACATTAACATTTGCAATATAATTACAGTAGCCAGAGTAAAGCACAGAAGATCTACCTAATTATTATAATGAAGCAGGAGATAAATACTTAGCAAGGCTATCAAATGATAATGAAAACAAATAAAATACAAAAGGTTACATTTATGTCACCATAAGACAAAATATTAGTTACAGATATGACCCATGCTGATAAGATTAATCTCACCTCTTACATAATAGCGTACACCAGCTCTGAAACAGCTCCTCCTCGAGATGAGAATCCAATCAAAGTATTTTCCATTAATAGAACACGAATGCATGGCAATAACTTAATCACATTAAGAAAAATATAACAGATAATAAAAATCATATGCATTGTTTCTAGATTTAGTCTGAATCTATCTACCCTAGTAAGAATGGTCTTTCAGAGAAAAAAATGAAAGAGTATACAAATCTTCGTGAATATTCACAAGCTGTTAGTACTATAATCAACTGTGAAGTTCTGTCAAGTAAATAACCCTATGACATATAAGCAGTATGTTTAAGAAGCTCACTATGGTGCTTCTATTTAAATAATACGCTTCTCTTTTCCTGATATCCTCAATCACTTTCTAAAAGCAAAGCATTAAGTATTAACCGCATCATTGAAAAACCTACTTTGAATGGAGAACATAAATTTAAAATAGATTAACTTTCAAATAAGAAACAAAAAAAGGGGGGGAGGCTACTACTCAAAAAAAAAAAATCCGAAATACACGAAACATAATTACAAATTAGCCATAACAGCTGGTAAGCATATGAAGATTCACAGATCAAAGTGAATTAAACAAAGGTTATCTAGAAATGGAAATTTTCACTCTATCTTCTCCTTAAAATAGAAAAGGTGAACCTCAATATAAAAGACTATATCTCCCCAAAAGGTTTTCTTAATATAAAGTTGTTTCCCTTACTACTGATAATAGTATATGCTATATGACACTTCCTACACCATTCAGTAACAGAAACAGTCACATACCTAGAAAATCTAAAGGCTGATCTCTCCACTTCATTCCCAGAATAAAGGGTTGCAAAAGACTTTGGAATTGACATACCTCTTATATTAAATATTTTTACTATGAAATACAATAAAAGTAAATATAATGTATGCAACTATTTATAACAGTTAAGTACCCATTTAGTATGGGGAGTTGATACCAATTGGGCAAGAATTTCTTACTGGATTGATGGAAACATGATGCTGGTTATACAACACTGTGAAAGAAATTAATGCCACTCATTCAACTGCACGTCTAAAAATGATTAAGAAGGCAAACTGCACATTAAATATATTTGATTGTAATTTTAAAAATTACACAGACAAATGCCCCTTTGTACAGACCAGCATGTTTGAAGCGCCTCTCCATGTGGCTCCCTTACTCCCCTCTAGGAAGTAACTACTATCCACTCAGCTCATCATTCCCTTGTCTTTCTAGTTTTGCTGCTGAACAACTTATTTAGTCTGAAAAGCTTTGAACCTTTTTATGTAACAGGAATTAAACTGTATGTATTCTTTTAGTTTTATTTTCTCATCATCATATTCATGAGGTTCATTTGCTGCTGCTATGGCTGTATAGTATTCCACTATATGATTACAGTTATTTATCCATTCTGATGTCCATTTCAGCTTTACTATTATAAACAGTGTTGCAACAAACATCTTTGTACAGAATAAGCAGAAGTGGCTCTAAGGAGCAGTACTGCTGGGTTACAGAGTAAATTCCTCATCTGGTCTTATTAGGAAATGCCATATTGTTTCAAGAGTTACTTTGGCTTCTCATCTTTACCAAAACTTGATATTGTCTGCTTTAAAAAAAAAATTTATTTATTTATTTTGAGAGAGAGGCTCTTGCTGTGTTACTCAGGCTGGAGTGCAGTGGCACCATCATGGCTCACTGCAGCCTCAAACTCCTGGGCCCAAGCCATCCTACCGCCTTGGCCTCCCAGGCAGCTGGGACTATAGGCACATGCCACCGTGCCCGGCTAATTTACTGTCTACTTCTTAATGTCTGCCACACTGGTTGGGGGAATAGGGGGGCATGACAAAAAGACACGTTTTATTGTTTCAATGGCCTTACTTTTTCTCCTTCCACATTTGTTTGGGTTTGGTTGTGTTATTTTCCATATGCAACACTTTTTCTTAATGTGCATCCACTATAAAGCATAACAACATAATACAATAAATATTTGTGAACCTACCATCCAACTTCAAAACAGTACCAAACCCTGAATCTATTTATCTGCTCCTTCCCTAATCTATCCAATTGTGTTCTCACCCGGGAGTAACTATTTACTCCCTTACTCACCCGAATTATCTATCTTGAGCCAGGGCACAAAGATGAGTGGGACAGATGAGCCTATTCTAGAGCCCAAATCTAGGAGAGAAAATGACTGACTGCTTTATGATTCCTGTTCCTCTGACTGCAAGACAAAAATATATACACACTTTAGAGAATCCAGAAAGCATGGAAGGAACAAGAGTAAAATAAAAACTGAATCCCATCAGCATGAGATAATTTTTTTAATGGGAGTGTATTGCTTCTGTCTTTCATCAATGAGTCACTCCCAGGGCCATTCCACCTTTGCTCCAGGATGCCCATTTCACATACTCCCCTCAAACTGCAACATTCCTTCCTCATCACACTCACAGCCCATTATGTCACTTTCTATGTCACTGTAAAATAAAAGCCTCCCACAGGCTCCCATCACATTCACACACCCACCAGCATCCACATCCATCTATTTGCTTCTCTTCTACAGTGGCAGGTGAGCAGTCCACACCAGGCCCTCACCTGTACACTAATCTCCATCCCCTCAACATTCTTGGACATCACTCTAGCATGCACCTTCACCAATTTCCCCTTCTTCAAAATCTTTGAGTCAAGGTCTTGCTCTGTCACCCAGGCTAGAGTACAGCGGTGTGATCATAGCTCACTGCAGCTTCAAAATGGGGTCAAGTGAGCCTCCTAAGTAGGTGGGACTACAGGCACATGCCACCATGCCTAGGTTTTAATTTTTAAAAAACTTTTATATAGACAGGGTCTTACTATGTTCTCCAGGCTGGTCCTAAACTCCTGGCCTCAAATGATCCTCCTGCCTCAGCCTTCCAAAGCACTGAGATTACAGGGATGAGCCACTAGGGCCTGGCCCTACCACATTTAAAGTAAAAGTCACAGTCCTTCCCATGGCTTATAAGGCCCTGAGTCATCTGGGCTGAGCTACTTCTCTGAACACAGCTCCCACCTCTCCCTGTTCATTCTCTATTCCAGTCATGTTTCTGTCTTGGGGTCATTTTACTTATTAATGTCTCTGTGTGTAAAACATATGACTACTTCTAGTCAACAAACTACATGAAAGAAAAGCTCATTTAAAGCTTTCAATTTAAAGGTAAATGAGTAAGCTGTTTCTAAAATTGCCTAGAAAAAAAGGTTCTATAATCTCAATATTATTTGTCCATTTACAGTCTCATTTTGAAAAACAAACAAAAAAACACCACAGTTGGCTCAAATCACTTAAGCCACTAAATAAGAATAAATATATTTATTTTTATTTTAGCCTTAGGAGAACTTGGAAAGCTCAGAGTGAAGGGTGGGGAAGCAAAAACAAATAAGCTTTTATCCTGAAATCTTCTAATTTTTATTCCCCCACAACTGTGGAACGCGTTTCCTCCATTACTTTTTGGGTTTTCTTTAAGTATAACAAGCATAATAATTTGGTGAAATCATATTAAGAAAATGAACAAATAAACAATAGACTTGTATTGATAAGCTTCTTAGGTGTGCTTGATAGAAAATCACCGTGTTCTTCAGGGCAGAATCCTGATTAGTCATACATCACTTAACAGGGGTACACTCTGAGAAATGGATCATTATGCAGTTTTATACATTACAGTGTACTTACACAAACCTAGATGGCACAGCCTACTACAAACCTAGGCTACATGGTATATATATAGCCATTGCTCCTTAGCTACAAACCCGTAGAGCATGTTACTATACTAAATATTGTAGGCAATTGTAACACAATGGTATTTGTGTATCTCAACATAGCTAAACACAGAAAAGGTACAGTATAAACATGGTATTATAATCTTAAAGGACCACCATCATACATGTGGTCTGTCATGTACTAAAACGTCAGTATGTGGCACATAACTAGATAGGCACTCATCAGCATATACTGTGCTTATCCCTTAAGTGCCAGCTCACTTCGCTGCCTTACTTTTATGATGATGTCTATGATACAGATTTGTTTTTAAAATGAACCTACCATTAGATAATCAATACTCATTTTGCATCTGTACTCTGCTTTCATCCCTAGGCATTATTCTTTTTACTCCACCTTTTTTTTTTTTTTTTGAGATGGAGTTTCGCTCTTGTTACCCAGGCTGGAGTGCAACGGCGCGATCTCGGCTCATCGCAACCTCCACTTCCTGGGTTCAGGCAATTCTCTTGTCTCAGCCTCCCAAGTAGCTGGGATTACAGGCACGCACCACTGTGCCCAGCTAATTTTTTGTATTTTTAGTAGAGACGGGGTTTCGCCATGTTGACCAGGATGGTCTCGATCTCTTGACCTCGTAATCCACCCGCCTCGGCCTCCCAAAGTGCTAGGATTACTGGTGTGAGCCACCGCGCTCAGCCTGTACTCCACCTTTCTCATCTATCTGTCACTACTTCAAATGACAAATAAAATTTTAATGGTAATTCTCCTCTCCAAGTTGTTACGCCAGTGTCTGAGTCTCACTATTTTTGACCCTGTCGCCCAGGCTGGAGTGTAGTGGTGCCATCATAGCTCACTGCAGCCTCAAACTCCCGGGCTCCAGTTATCACCCACCTCAGCCTCCTGAGTAACTGGGACTAGAGGTGCGAGCCACCGTGCCTGGCCTAAGTCTAAATTTTTAAATTATATACTAAGGAAAGTTTTCAACAGCAGGTCCAAACTACTTATGCGTAATTTACTGAGACAAGATAACATCAAATAAAGGCAAAATACAGTATACATATTCCTTCTCTTTAAACAACCAGCTCCAGAAACCTTGAACAGAGAGAGAATCACATAGTCTGAAGAGGTCATTCTTAAAAAAGCAAAATGGCAATGAGCTTGATTTTCTTATCAACAGCAATTTGTATTAATTCTGAAATAGTCTCCTTATGGAATATTTGAGACTATCTCTAAATCTGCCTTATAATAAAATTTAAATAAAGGGATCTAGAAACTAAAGAATAATATCATGTAAGGATACAGCCATGTAACACTGGAAGGGCAAACCGATGAACCTGAAATGAAGATATATATTTAGAATAAATATACTTTAAAAATAAACAGGCATTATATAAAAATATTTACACAAAGGGAAGTAATATACAAACATAAAGTAGTAAATGTATGGGTAATATAATTTTTTTTAATTCTCTAATGTAACATTAAGTATGCATTACAATCATTTGAGCTTGAATAGTCAAAGATTTTGGAACACTAATAAAGCTACATGAAGTTACAGAATGTTTACCTCCTTTTCAGTCTTTGCCTACAACAACTTCACTCCTCCAGGGAAAAGATATCCCATGCTAATTGTTTGCAGCTCAAACTACTTTTCCAAAAAGAGCATAGCAAATGACAAGAAATAAAGCAATTAGACACATCTATTTACCTAGATTCAATAATATACCATGTTTTCCTAGCTGGGCCTCTCTGTTTATACCTCTTATGTGCAGACAAAGGACAGAAGAATGTGATGCCTGTGCATGTGTCTCCTGGGTAATGGAAGGGAGTCTCATCCCCAAAGGAAGACAACAACGGAGTTCTCCCCCTGGCCAGGGAACTTGACCCTGGCCCCTCATTTCTCCATTATTCATGTACCAAGACCCACTGTACCTCTCTTAGTTAGATAAAGCTATGTGTTTTTACTTAAGGCTTCTACAGAAGATCAGAGTAAAATAATTAGGCTTCAACCTAGAATGATGTGACAGGGAAGATCTGATCAAAGTTTATAAGTTATAAACGGAGTTAAATTAGAATTGTTTCTCAAAATCCTTGGTGATAAGGAAGTCATTTTATAACATACATTGATTTAAGCTTGGGCTGTAAAAATTAAGCAGATTTTATTTAGTGTACATTACCTCTGGCTGTGCAGAAAGTTCTCTTAGAAGATGACCATTCCATACAAACCGCTGATCTGCCTGAGAGAAGTTTTAAAATTTACTAAAATATCTCCTGCCAAGCTTGTTTTCTACAGAAAGAAAACTGTGCCAACCAATGTCTCCATCTGATGGCTAGAAGCAGGTTTGACAGGCCTCAAACAAAATACATCTCCCCCTCAGATCTGTACTGCCTTTGGGTACTCCTGTTTCATTGTCTCAGGCCAGACAGAAATCTAAAAGAAGTCTTAGGGTATTTCTTTCCCTTACACTTAATTGTCAAGTACTAGGCTCTCCTTCAAAATCCATCTTTTTTACATTTCTATTCCTACCATCCTTGACCAACATTTGACTCCAGTCTAACTACTAAAACAGCCTCCTTTGCCTCCAGTTTAGGTGTTAGCCCTCCCTACCCGTTTGTCCACAACACTGCAAGTAGGAGTGTTCTAACATGTCCTGTATCCTATCTGCTCAAAATTCTTCAATGACTGTCATCTAAAGAACCAAATCTCATGGCCTAATCAGTCCTAGGATCTGGAAACCCCTAATTAACTCTCTGATCTCATCTCTGGCCACTCTGACTTTTATACATACAGAAGCAGCTCCCTCAACAATCTATATTTGATCAACTCTACTTAGGGCCAGGGGCGGTGGCTCATGCCTGTAATCCTAGCACTCTGAAAGGCCAAGGCAGGCGGATCACGTTGAGACTTAGGAGTTCGAGACCAGCAAGGCCAACAAGGCAAAACTCGGTCTCTACTAAAAGTACGAAAATTAGTTGGGCATGGTGGCACGTGTCCATCATCCCAGTTACTTAGAGAGGCTAAGGCACAAGAATCACTTGAGGCCAGGAGCGGTGGCTCATGCCTGTAATCCTAGTACTTTGGGAGGCCGAGGCAGGCAGATCATAAGGTCAGGAGATTAAGACCATCCTGGTCAACATGGTGAAACCCCGTCTCTACTAAAACACAAAAAGTTAGCCAGGCATGGTAGTGCACACCTGTAGTCTTAGCTACTCAGGGGGCTGAGGCAGGGGAATTGCTTGGACCTGGGAGGCAGAGGTTACAGTGAGCTGAGGTCGCGCCACTGCACTCCAGGCTGTGTGACAGAGCAAGACTGTCTCAGAAAAGAAAAAACAAAATAACTGACTCTACTCAGTAGATAATCAATTCTATTTATGAAGTATACCAATTGAACCACCCCATACCCCCAACTGTAAAAGTCACAGGGAATGGCTTTTGTACTTGGCCACAACCAGCTGAATCTCATTTCCTGAGACTCAAGTGTGTGTTTCCGAGTGGTTTGTGCCAGTCATTCTTATTATTCATCATTATATAGTTTAACTAAATATTTTACAAACCAATGAAATAAGACCAAAAGCATACTGCTGTTTCTATAAAGTTAAATAATTTGGAATCTAACTTGATAAGTGGCAAGTTGCTAAAATAAAACTGCTGTTGAATTCGAAGTGGGAGTGGCAACTAAAAAATATAATCGTCTACAGGATTCTGCACACAGATTTTTCCAATAGTGTCAAAATCTTTAAAGTGGCCCAAAAAGGAAAGCCTTATGGATGTAATTTACACAAGGAAGACAATTCAGAATCAAGGAACCAAAAACAAAGAAAATCCTATGGCTGTATATAAAAACATTGACTAATGTAAAATTTTATGTTTTAAGTTAAAATGTTTAGGTATACATGTTCCATTTATCACTTTTATGATTCCCTAGGTTAACTTTGTTTTTTTAGGCAGTCTTGCTGTTGCCCAGGCTGGAGTGAAGAGGCGTGAGGACAGCTCACTGCAGCCTCTATCTCAAGTGATTCTCTCCCCTCAGCCTCCCAAGTAGCTGGGATTACAGGTGCATGCCACCACATCTGATGAATTTTTAATTTTTTTGTAGAGATGTGGTCTCCCTATGTTGCCCAGGCTGGTCTTGAACTCTTGGACTCAAGCAATCCTTCTGCCTCAGCCATGCAAAGTGTTGAGATTACAGGTACGAGCCACCACACCTGGCTAACTGTCTTTCTGATTAGCTGACAAAAAAATTCCCATCTCATCCCAGCAGATGAGATGGCTTTTTCTTCAGCTTAGCCTCTGCCACCACCTCTGCCTGGGACCCTCCCTGGCCCACTGTCACCTGACCAACAAATCTTCAAGTCTCAGCTCAAAACCCTCCTGTGTAAAGTTACTGTCCTCTGTAGATACCTTTCTTTATAAAGTTGTCCCTGACACCCCCAGGCAAAGACCCTCATTCCTTCAAGATCCCACCTCACTCTGGTACATTATCCCAATTATAGCAACCATTCTCTGACTACTGCTTCCCCAGCACAATGTAGGCTCCCATAAGACAGGGTCCACAGCCTCAATCTGGGTCCCCAGAGGCTAATATAGTACCTGGTAAAGGGCTAACACTGTAGAGCTGTTTCATAAACAAATGGAGAATGTAAAAACTGCTTTTAAAAGCAACAGTCTCTTTGTAGTTAAAAGCCAAGTTTCTTGATTGCTTAGCCTGCACCTAAACTTCCATCTAAGCCTACATGCAATTTTACTAGAGTATAAAATCTTACCCCCCGAAAAAAACCAGTCAACTAAAATACTAATTTAGGTTGAACTGTTTGAAATTACCCATTTTTATTGGTCAAAAACGGTCAATTACCAGCAATTTCATGTTGTCCAATCTAATAGGTAACATGCAGCGACCTTTTAAATTCTGTCTTCTCATTAAACATCTAAGGTATGCCAAAAAAAATTAAGGCAGCAATTATCCAGGGTCCTGAACAAAACAAACTTTAAGTTGAGACCATCTGCAACCTAATTTTAAAGATATATTCATTATATATTTAAAAAAAAAAAAAAAAAAAAAGGCAGAACTGGGCAGGCACAGTGGCTCATGCCTATAATCCCAGCACTTGAGGAGGATGAGGTGGGCGGATCACTTGAGGCCAAAAGCTCAAGACCAGCCTGGGCAACATGGCAAAACCACATCTCTACTAAAAATACTATAAATTAGCCAAGCATGTTAGCACATGCCTGTAATTGCAGCTACTTACAAGGCTGAGACCTGAGAATCGCTTGAACCCAGGAGGCAGAGGTTGTAGTTAGCTGAGATCATGCCACTGCACTCCAGCCTGGGTGATAGAGCGAGACTCTGTCTCAAAGAAAAAAAAAAGCAAAATAAAAAAACCTTAAATAGACATTTTCCATGTTCTTAGTGACTTTTGTTATTTTAGTTATAAAAATTATAAATAACATCACTACAGAAGAAATATCAACTGTTAGAACACAAATTTTATAAGCCTGATTATACTGCTAATGTAACTGCCACACTATAGAACACTGAGACTTAAGAAATTACAAATCAATGCAATGCTAGTTTGAAGATTTGGCATTTGAGAGTTAGCACTTGGTAGCCTGGTAATATTTATGCAGAAATACAAATTCTGAAAGATTTTCTTGTAATAACATACAAATGTGTTTACATAAAGACTTCTGAATATCTACAGCAGTGGGTCTCAATTCTGGCTGTATACATATACAGATTCCAGGACTCTCATGCTGGGATTGTGATGTATATTTAAAACAAGGTATGTTTTCTAAGCCTCATACATGATTCTAATATAGCCAGGACTGAGAAAAATCAATATGAATTTTTATGCATGAAATAGAGACATGTCCCTTTTACAATCCTAAAAATAAAAACAATCGAAGATTAAGCTTACCCTTTCCAAGAGACTCATTTCTTGGAATTCTGGACTAGTGTTGGATAGCCGCTGCAAAGTATGGGTCAAATCATATGTTGTTGAAAAGTAAAATCCATCCACATTCAAGACATGGTTTAGCATGGCTAGGAAGGTTTTATTATCTTGTAACTGTAAACAAAGAAAAATCAGTATAGCTCATAACTGAAAAGGAATCTGAATAAAAATAAAAACCTTTAAGCCCAGCCTCGTTAAAGACTACTGGCATAAGAACTGGGCCAGCAAGAGGGATGTTCACTATTTCCCTGGGACATAGGACAGTTCCTCGTACACAGAAGATAGATACTCAATAAACACTGTAGGGTACTATTAGGTAACTTGATTAGGTAGGACCCCCTCCCCTTCACAAATTTTATTCTAAAGGGCAGAAGAGTGGTTTTAACAAAACATCACCTTTGTTTATAACCTACTGTGTGCCAAATATTTTCCAAAGAGTATCTAATCCTCACAACAGCCCTGCAAAGTCAGCATAGCTACCCTCATCTGACAAATAAAACACGTAAATTTAAGAGGGGCCCAATAACAGAGATAGCAAATAACAAGATACTAACATCATCCTCATTCTCAAGAAACTTTCCTGGTTTGGGATGGATGAGAAGTAAAATGGAATTCTTTTTCTTTAAAGCAAAGATTAAAAAGTCAAGTAAAAGCAGTATTTATCTTTATTTTTGGATAATCATTTTAACTAGCTTTCCCAATGAATACCAAGATTGACATTTGTCTTTATCCTTGTTTTAAAAAACATTGTTAATGTTTAGTAATGTTTAATGATTACCAAATGATTGTTAATCCACGTTACAAATTTACATATACAAAATTTTTGACTTGTGCTCAGACATGTTTTTAAAATTAGCTACACAGCTTGACAACAAAGTACAACAATCAAAAAGAAATTGTCTAAGTAAATATGACTCGTCTATTAAATGAATACAGCCATTTTTATTTCTTTAAAATATGGCTAGTAGAGAATATATTGATATATATTTCTTGATATATATATAAATTCTAAAGTATATATATTTATATATATTACATAATAGAAAATATATTATGTCCTAATATATAACAGTCCATTGTAAAAATTATGATTGTTCCATGATCTTTAAAAATTGTCAAAACATTAAAAACTATTGTAAGTTACAGATATAACTTATATAGTTGTAAGTTATAGATATTAACTTATAAGTTATATAGAAAATTATAAGTATAAAGAAATGAATAAATTATAAAACTAATATTTAGCACACAAATTTAAAACATTAGAAACACTAAGAATGAAAATATTTTATTTCTTTGTTAAAAAAAAAGTATCAAGAGACTTGAACACCGCTTGCCTTCTTGTCTATAACTTAAGATACAGAATATCTCTTCTATCCCTGGTGCATTGTCATACACCTTCCTAAGTCTAAACCAACTTCTGACATTGTATCCTTTGCACTTTCAACGTTGTGAAATATCTCCAAGGTTTCCTTTAATGGGAAGTTTTTGCAGGCATCACTTCCTCCGGGATACTGTCATCCTTTTCATCATAGCCACTCCATCATTAACGTTGATAAGTTCACCTGCACTAAGACCTCTGGCTGCATACCTACAGTCGCTTGAATGGTGATAGTGTCAGCGTTGCCATGGTCAGTTACTTCTTCTATGTTCCATTTATGTTCAATTTCAATTTCTCTTCCAAAGTTGTTGCTTTTTGTTTCTTTGCACCTTCATCTTTGGTGGGTTAATTCTTCATTTAATATACTGTAATAACTGAAATTTAAGCCATGTTGTTTGGGGACTGGTGTTAACTAAACCATGGTTACTGAAATCTGTGCATACAGCAACAGTGCAAAAGGAAAACTGCCTGAAAGTGTATATTTCATAAACACATTTCATAAACACGCATACATGCTTATATTCACATGTGGTTTAAAAAAAAAAAAAGAAGAAAACCTCTCTGGGAAAGAAGGGAATGAGTTAAGAGGAGTAGAACTTCAAAGGTATTTATATTTTATTTCTTTACAAAGATGATATGAAGTTAAATCTGGTGTTGAGTACATGTGCATTTTCTGTTTTCCCTTTTCTCTCCACATGAAATTCCGTAATTTAAGAATTGAATCTTTTAAAAAAAAAAAAAAAAAAAAAAACAAGGGCAACAAAATTATCTGAATGATTTAAAAAATATTTTATTATGCCTGGGTAGAAAAGTAGATAGAGTAAACTCTACAGGTTGTTTAAATAATTACAGCATTCTCTGTATTCCACAATACCCTCGCCCTCCTCTACCCATCCCATGCTACTGCTTTGGGCTTTCAAATTAGTAACAATTTCCAGTTCTTACCTGAATATCAGTTAAGTGCAACATTGTCTTCTTATAAGAAAGGACATCAAAATCTGTTGCTTTCCAGATTACATGATTGAAAAATTCACCTACTTTTGTCTTTTTGGTAATGACTATAAGATAATTACCTGCAAAAAGCAAGCCAAACACACATAACTATAAAAACAGTAACCCTAAAGGTAGAAATTGGAGTCCCTATTGTTTAACTTTAAAGACTAGTAGAATGAGACTATATTGTGCCACTCAGATAAAAGGTCCAGTTTTAAAGCAACCTTATAATTTATGAATAGAAAGACCAGATTATTTAGAAAAATTCTTACTGAAAGGTCACATTTTTCTCAAAAAAAGATAAAAGCAAATGCTTTTCATAATCAAAGGATTTGTCATCGTAAATGGAAAGCACAGAAAGAAAATACTTCTCTCTCTCTTTCAATACCCCCAAGGCATACGGGCCTCTGCTAATCACTTCCCAGCAGGTAGTTTAAAGCATCCAGTCATGAGATCTGACACTACAGGGCAATGTCTCTTCTACACCACTCCTATGTTCTTCATGTAACTCTTAATGTTAGAGAAATGTGCTGGGGCAGTATACCTAACTGGCTGCCGAAATATTACAAGGATGAGTGGTCAGGAATCAAAGAGTCATCACAACATTATGTACAATACACCATTATGTACAATACACCTGACCTTGCCACCTCCTCACCCCACAAATATATAAAACAGAGTAACCCTTTCCTACTCAATTAATTCTTCAGGTCTGTTCAACTCTCTACCCACAAGTGCCCTCTCTGGAAGTTTTCCCATGTACATGTCTCCTTCTAGAACTTGTCACACAGCACTGCGGTAATTCACTATTTACACGCCTCTCTCATTGGACTGTGAACTGCAGGGCAAAATGGACTTTCATCCTTTATAACTCAGCATCTAGCATGGTGCCTGAAACAACAGGAACTTCAAACAAGCTCAATTAAATTAAATCTCAACAAAAAGCACCTTCTTAACAACTCAGAACCAAGTAACATCCACTAACACGCACTATGTCCTATTAGCATAGGGCTGAAGGTGTAGAATACCCTGGTCCACTGATGCATTAAAAACTGTGTTTACATACTCTTGGAATTTGTGAAAAACATCTAGCTAAGGATTTCAACTCTAACTGAAACACAACAAAACACGAAACCTTTTTTGAAATAATAGAACCTCATGCTGATAAACTTTACCATTTGGGGAGTATTTCTTTCGTAAGTTAATGACAAATACTTAACCAAGAGATTTATTGCCTCAAACATGAAAGGAAGTATTACTTCATGATATGCTCACTCTAATATTGTCAATTTAGCTATCTTGTTTAATTACCTTCTTTGCCCATCTTAGCTTATTTTCTCTTACCTGCCACCAGATGAATTGTGCCCAGTATACCAAATATTGGTCTTGTGACAGCTGAAGGAGGAATATCTTTCTTGACTTGAAAAGAAAGAAAAATCACATACAAAAAGCTTACCAACAGAAACAGAAATTTAGTCGGATTTCAATAGTTACTTCAACTAAATCAATTTGCATGATTTGTTCTAAGAAAAGCAACATTTCTCAACTTAAATGCACTATTCATAGAGCTGTAAGTTATGTAAACTGGAGAGTAATAGCAATGAAACTGTGATAACTCCTAGAATATATGTTAGGTTCTTTAATGGAAGAAAAAAAATGTCCTATTAGAAATGGCATAGTCTGCATTCCCAATGATGAAAAGAAACTGGCTAAGAAACCGTCAGCAAGTCAGTCTCAACGCGGACTTTGCGTGGACGTATTTCATTGCTCTGTCTTACTGATGACTGTTTGGCATCATTATGTTTACATTCAAACTATTCATGACCTTTAACTTTTCAGTCTATTCAAATGGGTCTGCAATCTCAACCTACAAATAAAATGTTACTGAAAGATCAACAACAACTGAAAACACACCCACGTGAAAGCTCTTGAAAGACACTAGGTTATACCAACATGGTATAAAGTAGTAGTATAATTTAAACTTTAGGAGAAGTGTACTAACACTGGTTAAAAACAATCAGCTATCTTGAGAGAGCAGCCACCAAGCAACAGACAAATAGGAAATGTCAAATTATCAAACTAAAACAGAGCTCTATTTCCATTTGATCAAAGACAAACTATATGTAGTATCTACCAGAATTACCACAGAATCAAAAAAACAGAAATTTTATAGCCATAATTTTCTTACACCCCATTATCCCACAGAACATATTTTCATATTTCACTTTATCCACCCAAAGGCTGTTTACTGAATGCCTACTCTACTGTTATTCAAATATTATACTTTAAGAAGAAAACAAATATGAAACTCTGGAGGTAAATTAGAATATTTAAACAAACAAAATATGAAATTCCAAATATTATAACACATGGTACATTAATTTGTCACCAAAGTTATTTCATATTTATCTATTCAGAAGTCAGGCTGTTCCACACAAGTGAAAAAAAGTTTGTTTTCCACATCCCAGAAAAGCAAAACCAAAAGATAACTGGATGGATAGGTAGATAAAACTTAGAAACATCATTTGCCTAAGAACACCTACAAGTTTTAGTCAGTGACATATATTTTATTTTTCATTTATTAAATTATCTAAAATAATCCTGTTAAAATACACCTAAGGGAATAAATAAATATTATGTCTTTAAATCCTTACAGACAGTAAAATGCTATCTAAAATTTTCAAGATCAATTCTCCTTTTCACAAAGAAGGAGATAGCATGAAATTGAGGCACAAAAATTACACATTGGTGCAAAAGTAATTGCGGTTTTTGCTAGTACTTTTCATGGCAAAAACCGCAATTACTTTTGCACCAACCTATAAATAAGGTAGCAAAAATTAAAATTTTAGTAGGAATGCATTCAGAGATCCACACATTGACATACCTCTGATTTATGTTAATTATTATAATTTATGTATAAAATCTTTCTCCCCAAACTTCTAAATCTGGCTGTAAAATACCTGCAAGGGTAACCTCTGTGGATACACGGTCAATGATAAGTACATCGTCTGCTCCATCATCACAAGCTTCCACATAAAATTTTTCAGGTGTGATATGCCTAAGAAGAAATGTAAAACATAAGTAACTAAACCAAATGAAATGAAGACTGACTTCTACAAAACTACTTAGTATAACAATTACGGAGTACAACTTTGACATCATTTTCCCAGCTTCCCAACAGATGAAGCTGTTAAGTTTGCTCTCCTTATAAATTCACAGCAACTCTTTCCACTTGTATATTTGATGCTGACAAGGTTTTGATTTGCTATGAAACCATCAATTTAACTCATACAAAAATATCACAATCAAACCTAGTTTATAATATTCAACAGGGAACAGAAGGCAACGTAGCACAGTAGGAACACTCTAAAGAACCAGACTACCAGTACTGTGTGACCTTAGGCAAGTTACTCATTCTCTCTGAGCCTCTTATATCCTTAACTGTAAAATAACAATAATACCAGATTCATCACGCAGCAGCATCGTGTGAATTAAATGAGCTAACTTTGGTAAGCACTTTGAACAGCTGACACATAGTAAGCAAGAGGTATCAGCTAAAAATAATAAGAAATCCATTTTAAATAAAATATTTCCAGGAAATTTTTAAAAATAAATTACTTTAACATTCAGGTGGGGTGGGTTTTTTTATAGAAACCCACATATATTCCTGAAAAAAACTTCTCATTCTGCAAAATAAAAAATAAAGGAGGTAGAAATAGGGTTGAGAGAGACATTATTCCTGAAAAAAACTTCTCATTCTGCAAAATAAAAAATAAAGGAGGTAGAAATAGGGTTGAGAGAGACTACTTAAAATTTATGCAACTTTGTAATTAGAGTCTAACAAAAGTTAACAGTTGGTTTCTCAAGAGATAAATAGTTCAGGCAAGCAACTCAGCATGGTCAGGGACTAACTCAGGATATGGTAAATATTAACAAAATAAAATGCGTTTGAATTTGCAGGCACTAAAACAATGAAGACTGAAGTAGATAGAACTCCAAGCCACTGATTGAGACTGTTGTGGAGGTAGGCACAGGGGAAGATACGAACTTTCAGAAGCTGAGCAAGGATGGGAAGGGAGACTGAGTCCAAGAACTATTTCTTTTTCCAGAAACTAATCTTCATTGTTCACAAACAAGACTTAAAAGAACTTCTACCTGTTCTATCTGTGCAGCAGCCAATCTGAGGGTTTTTTCCTTTCCAATTCTACTCCCACTTGCCTATGAAAAACCTTATTCAAACCCACACAACCACCATGGACATCATTTTCTATTTACCAATTGTGTATAAGCTATTTGGTATTATAGAAAAATGTTCTGTAGCAAAACAAACTGTATTGACTATTTTTGACTGTAAGTTCTCTGAGGAATAATCAATCCTTGATTATCCAAATATAATTTACAACCTTTTACGGTTCATCTGTAACTAACTAAACATTAGGCTAGTTTCCTTCATTTGGGGGGGATATGTTAAGTAAAAGAAAATCAGTACAACAAGGAAAGCAAATCTGCTTCAAATACAGCAATCTTCAATTCAACCTAAATATAACAGTTCATTCTTTTTATTACTGAATAGCATTCCACTGTATGGATATATCATCATTTGTCCATCCATTCATTTGTTAATGGCTATTTGAGTAACTTCTGGTTTTGGGTTACTACGAACAAAGGAAAGGTTCTAGGAACATTTTTGCAAAAAGTCTTAAGGCAGATGTTCATGTATCTTGTATCTTGGTTAACTCCCTAAAAGTGAAACGGCTGGATCATACGGCATATATATGTTTAACTTGTGCAGGAAGAAAGAAAAAGGAGGGATTACTGCTATCAGGAAACATTTCAGGGTGATGGATACATTCACTATTGTAATACCAGCAATGGTTTCATGGGTGTAAATGTCAAAATTTATCAAACTGTACACTTTAGATGTGTGTACTTTATTGTATGTCAACTAAACTTCAATAAAGCTATAAAAATAAAACAAAGTGAGAGGTCCTAAAACAAAAGAAATACAAAGAACTTCCAGTCATCTAGTCTTACACCATTTTTTAAAAACCCAAAATTTCTGTCCATATCTACAAAAGACGTTTTATGGAAGCATAAGTTGCATTCCAAGTCTAAGTCAGTGACATGTACTGAAAGGCTACCACTTATTAAGCATTACACAAGCACCAGGGCTATGTGGCAGGTGACGAATACATTCCAGGGAGAGCTGAGCCAGGAAGTTTAGAGGTTTGGGGACTCACTGATAGTACACATGAAACAGGGATTCAAACCAGTTTTGTAAAAGTACAAAAGTTATAATTTTTTTCACCATACTATATTACTAGAATTTGAAGACATCATCCTTTGGTAGGCTGGCACAGATACACTGTTGTGTTCAAAATAGTCCCTGGTTAGGGGAAAAAAACAAAAACAAAAACACTTAAATGTTTAAAAACCCTGGTTTAATAAAATTTAGACTTTCCATTTAAAAGAATTTTTTAAAAGTTTTGTCACCTTGATACCCAAACACTAAGGCATCTAAAATTTCATTTGAGGAAAGGATTTCATTCCTTGCTGCAAGACCAGCCTGGCCAACATGGTGAAACCCCGTCTCTACTAAAAATACACGAATTAGCCAGCCATGACAGTGTGTGCCCGCAGTCCCAGCTACTCAGGAGGCTGAGGCATGAGAATTGCTTAAGCCCAGGAGGCAGAGGTTGCAATGAGTGGAGATGGCGCCACTGCACTCCAGCCTGGGCAACAGAGTGAGACTCTGTCTCAAAAACATAATAATTAAAATAAAATAAAAAGAGATAGAACTGATAGGTGAGGGTGGATGATAGAATACACATGATACGCTCAGCACTAAGAGACAATTCCAAGAAATACAGGCATTATTTAAATTTTACTAAATGGTTTCAGACCACTGGGTTTTAATGTTGTTTTTTTACACTTCTACCATCTTTAGTCTCTTGACAAAGCCATCACCACTGCTCCTATTTGGCTGCTTTACTTTTACATCTAGGACAAAGTTACAGGTTTCAGATAAGGTCTGAGGAAGGTGACGCAGTTTTGACCAGAGAGTAAAGTCCATGAGCTTTATTACATCCATTTTCTTCATAATACTCAGAGGCCTACATGTTTTGTTTTGTTTTTTTTTTTTGAGATAAGAATCTCATCTGGTCACCCAGGCTGGAGTGCAGCGGAACCATCTAGCTCACTGTAAACTCTGCCTTCTGGGTCCAAATGATTCTCCTGCCTTGGCCTCCCAAGCAGCTGGGATTACAGGAGCCTGCCATCATGCCCAGCTAATTTTTGTATTTTTAGTAGAGACAGGGTTTCATCATGTTGGCAAGGCTGGTCTTGAACTACTGATCTCCTTGACCGCCCATCTCGGCCTCACAAAGAGCTCGGATCACAGGTATGAGCTATTGCACCTGGCCAGGCCTACATCTTTTAAGTTCAAAGCTGCATTTTGGAGGACAGAGCTGCCATAATTTATTTCTCCACATAAAGGGTGTGTTATCTCTTCAATAACTAATGCTACTTTTAATATAAAAAGATGATTATTCACCAATCTCGGAAATCAAATTCCTCCACTTTTTTTTTTATATTAGGCACAAAAACACAAAGCTTGCATCTAAATAAACAGCCAACAGAGAAATGCATATTGCTTGCTCTCAAGAGCATACCCCTTCTACACTCTGACCACCTATATTTACATAAATGCATTTAAACTCTTCACCTGTAAGACCTTTAAAATGAAAATTATTTGGACAAAAATCAATGAACTGAAAAGTCACACTTGTTTCAACATACAAGGTTGGGGATATAACCTTAATAGGTACATTTCAGTCAGCAATAAAGTATTTATTATAAAATCAAGTGTTTATAAGAGCACTTACATACTGTATTAGGGTAAAAAAAATTTTTTTAATTAAAAAAAAGGGCACAAAAGTCATATGTACACACAGAAAAAAAAACTATCTCCATTAGAAGCAAGTTTTTCTTGGCCAGGCACAGTAGGTCACGTCAGTAACCCTAGCACTTTGGGAGGTGGAGGTGGGCAGATCATTTGAGGTCAGGAGTTCAAGACCAGCCTGGTTGACACGGTGAAACCCTGCCTCTACTAAAAATACAAAAATTAGACAGGCGTGGTGGCGCATGCCTGTAATCTCCACTACTTGCTAGGCTGAGGCAGGAGAATTGCTTGAACCCAGGAAACGGAAGCTGCAGTGAGCCAAAATCACACCACTACACTCTAGCCTAGGCGACAGAGCAAGACCCCGTCTCAAAAAAAAGGATTTTCTTTTCTCAATTTGGCATTTAAATTTAAAACTGTTTTGGAAGGGTGGGAGATTAAAACATACATCTTAGATTAGGACTTCAAATAATTTACCAGATATATATATTCAGCTATACAACTAGGCCTTTAGTAATTGTTATATTCCTAATAATCACAGTCAAAGCTTATGACTTTACTATGTGCTCAGAATCCGTAAAATTACAAAGTTAGATAATGAACTTTATTTTAAAAAGAAATATATGGCCGGGCACGGTGGCTCAAGCCTGTAATCCCAGCGAAAGAAAAGAAATATATGATACCCCCAAGTCTGGATAGACACATTTGAAATAAGACAATCAACAAATTAAAATTTTAATTGAGGTAGAATGAAATTAATTTCTACAGTGAAAACCCTCCACGGAAGCCTTGATCTTCTCTCAGAAGATGGAATATGGGGAGTATTAACAGATGGGCGCAGGCTGTAGACAGATATTAGCTACTTAAATGCAGGTTTGGAAAAGAAAAAGTGCTTGGAAATAGGCTAATTAACTCGGATACCACAGAGGTGGTCTACGAGGTGAGAGTCAACAAAATAAGCAGATTCCAGTAGCAGAATGCTGAGAAGCTTCAAGAACTAGAGGGAAAAGGCAATGAGGACTCGTCGAGGAGATGTGGGGGAATTGCAGGAGTGGGATGGGGCAAGTAAGGCAGTGACACTGACTTAAAAAGGGGTGTAAAGGCAGTTCGAAGTTTCTATCAGAACCCCACCCAAACCCAGACTTTCCAGACACCTGTCCTACTTTGGGAGGCCAAGGCCAGCAGAGCACTTGAGCCAAGGAGTTCGAGATCAGCCTGGGCAACAAGTCAAGGCTCCATCACTACAAAAAATGCAAAAATCAGATGGTGTGGTAACACATGCCTGTACTCCAAGTTACTCAGGAGCCTGAGGTGGGAGGACTGCTTGAGGCCAGGACGTGGACATTACAGTGAGCTGTGATCACACTACCACATTCCAGACTGGGCAACAGAGCTGTCAAAAAAAAGGAAAAGAAAAGGGGAAAGGACAAAGGAAAAAGAAAAAGAAAAGAGGGAAGAAACTGGCCCAAGAGAAAAACGTTAGAAACTGCTGACATTTAGGGGTCCCCAATGAATTTCCACACAATCACTCTATAGTGAGGGCCATCAGTTGACATAGTACCTCATTCTTAAATATGAAATGACAACCAAGGATCACCAGATATTTGAAAAAAGGATTTCTCACAGAAGACAGACCAAAACAAGCAGAAAAAAATAACTTTGGGCAAATAAAGTATGCTGAGAACAGAATAAAACTCCAAAATACATTTATAATTGATAGCCTCAGAAGATATTGCATTCATGAAACAAGAAGAAGGTAAAAGCATGCATTAACATGTTCTTGGACTGATAGTAGAAATAATATTTTGAAAATTTAACAGAAGGATTGGAAGATAAAATGGAAGTACTCTCCTTAGGAGGCTAAAAAGAAATGCAAAGTCGGATGGCATAGGAAGGAAAGAGAGGAAGGAAAGAAGGAGAGAAAGGAGGGAAAAATGGGAGAAAAAAGGGGGGAAAAGTAAGAAAATAGTACAATCCAGGATGTTCAGCATCCATGCAGCAGGAATTCCAGAAGAACATATAAGAACAAAAGGAAGAAATTATCAAAGAATACAAAAACAACAACAACAAAAAAAAACCCCACTCAGACCAAAAAAGACCCACTAAATAAATGGAAACACATACATGAAGGCATATTAAACATAGAATTTCAAAACACTACACAGAGACAATTCTAGTTTCCCTCCACCCAGAAAAAATTAAAGTAAAAGAAGCAGTGAAATATTCAACAGCCACTGTATTAGATTATTTAACACCAATGCAATAGCAAGATCTTTAAAATTCTGAAAGGATAATAATTTCCAATTGAGAATGTTATACCTAGTCATATTTACCAAAAAAGTGCGAGGGAAGAATGAAAATTTTCAGATATACATTCTCAAAAGTTACATTTCACTCTTTCTCAGAAAGGAGGAAAGGTGTGTTCCACCAAAATAAGAGTAAACCCAAAAAAGTTAGATTTGAAATCCAAAATAGGAGGTAAAAGGAATTCTCATGATGCATGATGATGGTGATGAGAGGTCCCAAGACAATACCACACAACAGGGCTAAAGAATAACCAGCCCAGATTAAAAGCAGGAGGAGAGAGGGCTCCTAAGGCTAAGCCTCAGAGAAGAAAATGAAACAACAGCCAACTGACATGTTTCAGAGGAATTATGTTGCTCTTTCAGAGAAACTGAAGACTGATTTGCAACAGGTACATATTAAAAAGTCAAGCAAATAAAAAGAACTAAGGCAATTTTTAATTCTAGGAAAAAACAAAACATTTTTATAAGGAAATGTAATTATGATACACCATGAGGCTTCATTTGAACCATAGCTACATAACCATAACATTGTGAACACTATAACTATATGGAGGAAAAAAAAAAAGAGAGGCACAAAAGCTAAATCCTCATCTTCTGCAATAGGAAGTCATCAGATTACTAAAACCGATAAAAATGAGGAAACAGCAATATAAGCATTTTTGTAAATATGAGTAAAATACCAGAAGTCACTTAAAAAGTAGATGTCTCTGCTATTAAAAGCTTTGTATACTACTTACTTTGAAACCACATACATAAGATTGAAATAAAAATAAGGTTTAGGAGATCGATCCAAGACGGCCGACCACTAACAGCTCAGGATTGTAGCTCCCAGTGAAAGCCCAGAGAACGAGACGACGCCACACTTTTAGATGAATTTTCGTCACTCACCGATCAGCCGATTCCCAGTGGAGGAGCCCCACGGGTCGCCAGCGTGACTCTTGTGGCCGCCGCAGGGGTTTTGCCGGCGTCTCGGCGCAGCAGCTCTTCATGCAGAGCCAACGGGACCGCTTCCCCTACTGACCGGAGTTTGGAGCTCCGGGAAGTCAGAGCCGCTTGTTGCGGACTCAAGAGGGAAGCCAGACCAGAGATTCCCGGGCAGAAGAGCACCATCAGTCTTACCGCTGCTATTTAGGCTACCACAGTGGGTTGCTCAGATCCCAGCACTGGGAATCAATAAGTCGGACGTCGACTCAGAAAACTAATTAGAAAGGCGGTTCATCTACAATGAAGGGAAAAAAACAGCCTAAGAAGGCCGAGTATACTCAAAATCAGAACCCATCAGCAACGGAACAAGCCCTGATGGAAAAGGACTCATTAGCAACCGAACAAGCCTTGATGGAAAAGGACTCATCAGTAACGGAACAAGCCCTGATGGAAAAGGACTCATCAGCAACCGAACAAGCCCTGATGGAAAAGGACTCATCAGCAACAGAACAAGCCCTGATGGAAAAGGACTGTGTTCCATTATTTGAAGTAGGCTTTAAAAGGTGGATGATAAGAAACTTCTGGGAGTTAAAGGAACTTGTTCTAACCCAATGTAAAGAAACTAAGAACTTGGAAAAAAGGTTAGATGAAATGTTGAAAAGAATAGACAATATAGAGAGGAATACAAATGAACTTATGGAGTTGAAAAATACAACACGAGAACTTAGTGAAATATGTACAAGCTTAAACAGCCGAATGGATCAAGCAGAAGAAAGGGTATCAGAGGTCGAAGATCAACTTAATGAAACAACACAACAAGACAAGAATAGAGAAAAAAGGATAAAAAGGAATGAGCAAAGTCTCCAAGCAATATGGGACTATGTGAAAAGACCTAATATACGCTTGATTGGTGTACCTGAATGTGACGGAGAGAATGAATTCAAGTTGGAAAATACTCTCCAGGACATTATCCAGGAAAATTTTCCTAATTTAGCAAAGCAGGACACTATTCAACCCCAGGCAATACAGAGAACACCACAAAGATATTCCTCAAGAAGACCAACCCCAAGGCACGTAATCGTTAGATTCACCAAGATCGAAACGAAGGAGAAAATATTAAGGGCAGCCAGAGAGAAAGATCAAGTTACCCATAAAGGTAAGCCTATTAGGCTTACAGCAGATCTCTCAACGGAAACCCTACAAGCTAGAAGAGAGTGGGGGCCAATATTCAATATACTTAATCAACAGAACTTTCAGCCCAGAATTTCATATCCTGCCAATTTAAGCTTTACATTTGAAGGAAAAATAAAATTTTTTAGGAACAAGCAAGTACTCAGAGATTTTATTACCACCAGGCCTGCTTTACAAGAACTTCTAAAAGAAGCACTATACACAGAAAGGAACAACCAGTATGACCCTTTCTAAAAATACACCAAATAGTAAAGAGCATTAACATAAAGAAGAATTTTTATCAATGAAAGGACAAAATAGCCAGTTAATATCAAACGGCAGCAACCCTAAATTTAAATCGACCAAATCTCCCAATCAAAAGATACAGACAAAATCTAACGGTATATCCAAAGATATACATAGACTCAAAATAAAGGGTTGGAAAAAAAAAAACGTACCAACCAAATGGAGAGCAAAAATAAATAAATAAGCAGGAGTTGCAATTTTCACATTTGACAAAATAGATTTCAAAGCTACAAGGATACAAGGATAAAAGGATTAATGTAATAATAAGAGATCTTAACACCCAGATACATAAGACCCATAATGAGATTTAGATTCAACGAGACAGAAAATTGATAACGATATCCGGGACTGGAACTAAGATCCAGAACAAATAAACTCAATAGGGCTCTCCATTTTAAACACACAAAATATACATTATCCACAAAATCTAACAATATATCTAAAGATATACAAAGACTCAAAACAAGGGGATGGAAAAAAGCTCACCAACCAAATGGAGAGCAAAAATAAATAAATAAAAAGCAGGAGTTGCAATTCTCACACTTAATAAAATAGATTTCAAAGCTACAAGGATGCAAGGGTAAAAGGATTAATACAACAATAAGAGATCTTAACACCCAGATACATAAGACACATAATGAGATTTAGATTCAACGAGACAACAAATTGATAAGATATCCAGGACTTGAACTCAGAACCAGAACAAATAAACACAATAGAGGTCTCCATTTTAAACACATAAAATATGCATTAACCACTTTAAACACTCAAAATATTGATCAGCCATTATTGAAACCCATTTTAGGAATGAAGTAATATTCCTTTTTCCCTCTTTTTCTTTTTTTCCCCTTCTTTTTCTCTTTTTCCCTCAAAAAAAAAAAAAAAAAAAAATGGGACCAAGGTCAGGTAGTTCAGGCAGTGTACAAATACACACACAAAAAAAAAATAAATAAAAATAAGGTTTAAAAAAGCTATTATAGGCCAGATGTGGTGGCTCATGCCAGTAATCCCAGCACTTTGGGAGGACAAGGCGGGTGGATCACAAGGTCAGGAGATTGAGACCATCCTGGCCAACATGGTGAAACGCCATCTGTACTAAAATACATACACACAAAAATTAGCCAGGTGTGGTGGCATGCGCTTGTAGTCCCAGCTACTCAGGAGGCTGAGGCAGGGGAATCACTTGAACCTGGGAGGCCAAGCCTGAAGTAAGCCGAGATCATGCCACTGCACTCCAGACTGATGACAGAGCAAGACTCCATCTCAAAAAAAATAACAAAAAGGATTATAATAACAAAATATAAAAATAAGAGTAATCATGGGTCAATATAGAGATGTCTTGCTCAAAAGTTCTGAGGCCTTTGCTTAATCTTCTCTCTCAAGAGAGATGCTGCTGGAATCTAAGTTGCTGATGCTATCACCAGCCTATTCTGATAATGTTACTGAAAGTGGCATCTCTAGGCTTAAGAATTGGAGCAATGAAAACATGAACAGTGACTGCCAGGGAATTAACATCTCTAGGGACGGTGATTTTAAGTAATGACTCACAATTCTGTTAATCGTAACAGCAGGTATCATCCCAACTCATAGGCACCTATACATATGCCCTTACTATTAGCTTCCTCTCCTTTCATATCCCACCACTTCTGTATTGGTCTTAATACTGATCTGAAGCATTATTGTTTTATGTAGTAAATTTTATTCTACATGTTTTATGCTTCCTGGGCTTCATTTCAAAAGCCAGTGAAATTAAATTTAACTCTCTAGCACCTGCAGTCAAAAACAACTGAGTAAACATTCACTGGTGAAATTTTCGCTGGTGTGTATTGTTTTATTGATATTTTTGTGTTCAAATCTTCACCAAACAAGCTATAGCATTACTTATTTTATGAAACAGATTTCAGAAGACAAGATTCGATCCAAGAAGATTATTTGGTCAAGCTATATTGTTGATAACAGATCTCTAAAGTTCAAAGTAATACTGTATACTAAAAAGGGTTCTGGTCCTACATAAACTATCTGGTGAGGTGATCAGACTCCAATTCACTATTAACTCTAACTGAACAAGAATCCTACCAAGTTTCTGTCAAGACAAGAAGATTCGGTATCTACCCAGAGTTCTGGTTCCCGTTAATAAGACACAAACTATGGAAGACATGTCAAAATAGCATAATACTTGTATAGTAATTGCTTCTATTTTGACTACCTTCATTGAGCTGGTTATTTTGCTTTTAAGAATTACTGTCCAAGCATAGGATAAAAAAGAAAAAGTGGCTTGATACAGCGGCTCATGCCTGTAATCCCAGCACTTTGGGAGGCTGAGGCAGGAGGACTGCTTGAGCCCAGGAATTTGAGAGCAGCTTGGGCAACATGGCAAAACCCTGTTTCTACAAAAAATAGAAAATTAGCCAGGCATGGTGGCTTGCATCTGTGGCCTCAGCTACTCAGGAGGCTGAGGTGGGAGGATCATCTGACCCTGAAACGCAGAGGCTCACCTGAACCTGGGAGGCAGAGGCTGCTGTGAGCTGAGATCACACCACTGCACTCAAGCCTGGGCAAAAGAGCAAGACCCTGTCGCAAAAAAAAAAAAAAAAAAAAGAAAAGAAAAGGAAAGGGAAAAGGGTAAAGTGACCAAGGACCAGAACAAGACAAGACAAGACAAAATAGAGCAGGAGGATCGTCTGAGGCCAGGAGTTTGAGACTGGCCTGGTCAACACAGCCAGATCTCATCTCTATAAAAAATGTTGAAACAAAAGAAGGAACCAACAGTTAAGTTGCTTCCTCCTTTCTGACTGTTGTGAATAATGCTGCTATGAACAGGAGTATACAAATCTCTCTTTGAGACCTTACTTTCAATTATTTTGAGTATCCCAGAAGTGGAATTGGGACTACAAGCTAAATTCAACCAAGGCAGTTCTGGCTATTATGCTTAATACAAATGCATTTAATCTTATAGTCACCTGAGATTCAACAGCTCTTAAGAGTGCTTTTAAAAAATTAGCCTTGTTAAATTTTAAGAAAAGCAATATATTTAATCATAATATTAACATTAAGTATTTTTATGTTCTTTCAGTGTTGACATTGTGATTTTCCAGTGTCTGAAAACATTTATCTCCCATGTCACATTCACATCTTATTTCAGGCAAAGACTGACCTCTTCAAAATCCTATCAAATCAATGAGTAAAACTGGCCTACTTCAAAAATATTACTACTTACCAACCTTACAGCCATTAAAATGGCTATTATCTAGAAGAAAAAAAAACAGGATAGAAAATACAAGTGTTGGCTAGAATGTGGAGAAATTGGAATCCTGGTGCTTTGTGGGTGGGAATTTAAAAACGGTGTAGCCACTATGGGAAAACAGTATGGTGGCCCTCTAAAAATTAAAAATAGAATTCCAATTTGACCCAACAATTCCACTTCTGGGCATATACTCAAAATAATTGAAAGAAGGGTTTCAGAAAGATGTTTGTACACTCACATTCATACTAGCATTACTCACAATAGCCAAAAAGGTGAAAGAAATGTACCTGTCCAACAACAAATGAGCAAACAAAATGTGGTACATACATATGATGGAATATTATTCAGTCTTAAAAGGGAAATTCTGACACACATGCTACAAAATGGATGAACCTTAAGGACATTACGCTAAGTGAAATGAGCCAGTCACAGAAGGACAAATACTCTATAATTCTACTTCATGAGGCATCTAGAGTAGTTAAGTTTACATTAACAGCAAGAAGAATGTTAGGGAGTAGGACTGGGAGGATACAGAAATTGGGAGTTGTTTAATGGGTACAGGATGAAAAGAATTC